GAACTATTCTTGAAAAGAGCTTAGTACTGAATTTAAGCGGTCCAATAGCCGTCTCTTATAATAGAGGATCAGAGGACCGTTCAAATGACCCCCTACTACCCTTTATGGTAGAGTAGAACGAGCCTTCGTAGATTGGAGGTAATAGTCTCGCAAGCTTTGGTTTTTTCATTCGCGATCGATCTCTTTCATTTTTCCATCAAAACGCGGGGTTTATATAAACGTATACGGCCTACTAGTTTTTTTTTTCAATTAAGCTTTTGGTGAGGCTAATAAAGCCGTATATTAAGAACTGATAAAAAGGGGGGCTTGAAGGGTTCTCCGCTTTATAATAAAGCATTAAAATATAAGAAATTCGCAAGGGGGTTCCAGCGTCTCCTGGGGTCTCCCTTTTATAATAAATTATTATGTACATTATTCCTTATATAATAATAGCTTTGCATATATTATGTTCTATGACATTGTTTATTTTATAATTTGAATTGAGATATATTAGATGTTATTATGGATAATATTTATATTTAAATGAGATAATAAAAAAGTAGGTTGTAAAATATCGGTTCTGATTATCAGCTGAATTATTATAATTCGAGTAATTAGCCCGTTGATGACACTACAGAGAACTTGGTCCTCTGCCTGGTAATGAGTATGTGTAGTGGAGGGTTTTCCGACAAGTGAGTAAATGGATGCATTAATGAGCGTTGAGAGAAGTGCATAGGGACTCAACGAAGAAAAGATGTGTGTGAGTATAGAAGATAGACTTCATTTTGACTACTTCAAAGAAACAGTAAATGACTGCCATTGGCCATGTTTAAGTAGGTATGTTCGAATACTTCGTCACTTGACGTTCGACCCTGAGAGACTCTCGCTACAGAGGCTCCAGCGACAGCCTCACCACATCCAGGTCCCCGCCCAGCAACACCACGACGCATTACTCATAGCGACTGTGCCGGTTCGATGCCACGTATGATCCTCGCGCCCAACAAAACAGCATGGCAGCCTCCCAACCCGTGAAGCCCCCGCTGGCCACCCAGAACACCCAGGCGCGAGGGCCACAGCCGGGCCTCCGCTACCCGACAAATGGCAAGACCATATACCACCGACCTCTGAACCGTAGTCGCACGCAGGAGTTGAGCCAAGCGAGCTTTGCATACCTGTTCGGGGAGATGGTGAGTTATGCACAGAAGCGCGTAACGGGGATTCAGGATCTGGAGAAGAGGTTAGTCGCCCGGCAATACCTGCAGAGGATGGATGGAAAGACGATTGGAGAAATGGCGCTTTTTGAAAAATATGGCTAACTTGATAAAATCTGTGTAGACTGAATGTTCAAGGCCACCCCATAGGCCTCAAACTCCTCGACCTCCTCCTCTACCGCGAACCCCCGCGAACCCAACTCCGTCCCCTCAACATCATCGCCCTCCTGCAATTCATCACCACCGTCCTCTGGAAGCACCTCTTCTCGCGACCAGCCGACGCCCTCGAGAAATCCTCTAACCCAGAAACGCCCGACGAGTACATGATTTCCGATAACGAGCCTGTTGTCAATCAGTATATCAGTGTCCCGAAAGAAATGAACCAGTTGAACTGCGCCGCGTTTGTGGCCGGTATCGTGGAGGGCGTGTGCGATGGCGCGGGTTTCCCAGCAAGGGTTACGGCGCATAGTGTGGGTAAAGGGGAGGAAGGGGAGCTGTGGCCGGGCAAGACGGTGTTCCTGGTGAAGTTTCAACCAGAGGTCGTAGAGAGAGAGGCGTATCTTGCGAAGAGCTGAGGCAGCTAGCTAGAGAGAGATGGGCTGTATAGGAGTAAAAGGGTTATATGGGAGGCGTCTTGGGCGTTGGTGGAGCCTGGGAAGACTTGGGATGGACATCTGGGATTAGAAGTCGTGAAAGAATGGTGCTTGGTATTGAAAGAGTTAGGCATTTATACTGCTCCTCGTACTTCAAGCCGTTCTCAATTGCAATTTCTACATGATATCTTCCTTACGCTTGGTTTTCGATCCATAACTCCACAGGGTATCATATCATCCATCCATCAATGTTCCGAAACGCCATTTCGACACTCAATCCTCCCTCCAACACCATTCCCACCTGGCCTTCCAATCCCATCACCTAGGTAAGCTCTTACTCCCCATCTTGAAAACCCCTCCATCGGCTTTGCTATGCCCACCAACACCCCCTCCCTTCGCCCCCGGCCCCTTGGTCATCAGCTGGCCCAGCCCAAGGTCCTTCCAAGCCGCCTCCTTCGTCTTCTGCGTCGCCCGCTGGATCCCAAACGCCGCGTGCTGGTCTGGCACTACATCGTCCTCGTCTTCGGGGTTGATGGGTTGGTGGTGTGGCGGCACGTAGATCTCGTCGTCAGGCAGCTTGTCCTTGCAGAAGTCCTCGAAGAGGTCGGCGTCTCGGGGCCGGTTGAAGTGGATGTAGGTGTAGCTTGAGTCCCTCGACTTGGTGAGGGTATTAGCGAGCGAGAGATTGGTGAATTGGAAGAAAGGAATATACCATTTTTTGTGAATTGTGAAGGGGGAGGGAGCGCTGCGCTGGAGTGAATTTGGGGGTTTGGTTTATTGATGTTCTGATGTTCTTATTGCTTTACTGCCGAGGGGCAACGGGGAAATGCTGGACCCGCTAGCGGTCACGCTTGCTCCATACGGAGTATAAAATAAAATCTTAGTCCCTCGTACTCCCTCAGTTTTTCCTCATCAACACCACCTCCCCACAATGCATCAATATCGAGTCAAGGCATTGGGACTTTTCCAAGATGTCTCAATGCTTCGATGGAATCGTCAGAGGACGACTGGATGTTTGCCTCTTCGACCACAAGGTTGTCTATCTGCAAAATGGTCATCACCTCAATCAGACAGATCTGCAGCTCTCGACGCTCCTAAATCAGGACTCTCTTGCTCCATGCTACCTAGGTACTTATCAGAGGCACTTCCCATCCGACTTCTACACCTTGCTTGGTAAGCCTTCCTCTTCTTTCAACTCCACCCACTCTCTATAAAATGATGAGCAACATGACGTTACACCCAGCTCACTCAGAAGCACCAAAGGTGCAAATGCTGTATAAACGTTTTTCTGAACAGAAACCCCGTTTCAACATCATTTATGCAATACGTGGATCTACATCTGCTAACTTTTGCGATCAGGTTTTCTTTCTTTCTAGTCTTCTATGTCTCTTCCACTTTCTTACACATTGCTAAGCTCCTACACGATTGTTTAATACGCCAATCTCTGCGTCTTTTTCCTCCAGCCCTGGAATATAGAAAAAACTGCCAACTGTGACAATTTATCCAAGTTCGCTAAACAAAAACCCAACCTTTTCTTTTGTGCTGCCAGCATTCGGGTTCACCATGACAGACATGGCAAAGTTCATCGCAGTACCGAACACAATCAGTGTCATGGCTGCGAGGCCCATAGTCTTTGCCCGAGGATTGAATGCCCCAACACCGCTCCGCTTGTTAAGAATTATTCCAAGGCACAAGTAACGGTGAGTGAAGCCTGGACCCACTACTTCGACGAGCTCTACTGCCAGGTTCATCCATAGGAGCAAGCGAGCTCCAGTGATAGGGGAAGAAGAGCTGTGAAATTTTTGGACGCTCACAAGAAAATGAAGCGATCGGTAAACTGTCCCAAATGTCGAGTAATTAACTTGGGGGGAATGACTGGATACACGGAGTCGAGAAAATTCTGGGGATTGGATTGCTGCACCACCACTTCGCTCAACAGCCTGAACAGCCTGGAAACCTCCAACCAGCACTAGCCACTAGAATTCGTTATGGATGAAGACTACGACTCTGAAATACCCTGTGCGTCGACCACCTCGGCAGGTCGTCGACGGCCAGTGTTTTTTTGTAGATCGTAAGCAGATGGTACCCGGGCCCAGGGGGGAGGAAGCGGGTGGAAGCGCTCGTCTGCTTGAATTTTGATGAGAGTGTGTGCACGTGACAACGTAAATACTCATGCAATTGCCCAAGCAAGGTAAGCAGGCATATAGGATACGCCAAGGGGAAGAGTCTGAGTCTGAAAACAGATCCTAGGATCTCCACTATCTAGAATCCCGTTGGATATTTCAATGTATAAATGTACAGGCAGTGTGTGACATGAGAAAGCTCGGCACGAGCGGTTTATCTGTGTTCGAAATCCGATCCTTATTCTACAAAGGTTGTGGACATAGTCGAGTAATTGTACATCATACTGGTACACGATAAGCCACTTATTACCAGAGCTTGTTATCACCCGTGTCCACCGCCTTGCCAGCCTTTTTAACCCTCCTCTTCTTCCCCATACCCGGCGTCTTGAAGAACAGACTGGGCCCGTGGCCTTCTTCCACCGTATGGCTCAAATATCCTCTTTTTGCGTAGTCTCTGTAGTATTCCAGGTCCTTACGACTGGTGGGATCAGGCAGACGGTATTTGAATCCAGATGACAGCGCCACGGCAGCCATAATGGGAGACTCGCCCTCCGCACCGGGAACTGCCATAGCCAGCGGCGTGAAGCTTGACTCCGACTCGCCCTTCAAAATCCTCTTGATGGATGCCTTCGTGTAGTATCGCGTCGTGACCTTGCCCCCCGCCGCCTCGACCGCCGCAATCGCCTCAGCGGATGCTCTTGACACCAGAATGTTGATTGGAGTCTTGAGCTCCTCCTTCCCCCGTGCCAGTAGCTTCACTCCATCCTTGATGCCGTGCAGACAGCGCGACTCGACCAGTTCCTTCAGCGTGATGGGTTGCGTAGGATCCAGTCGGCCTTGATCAATCCACTCCTGTATCTTGTTCAGGTTGATCGGGGACATCTCAACAGAGAATCTGCATCCCGCATATCCGCATCAGCCAAAGCCCCGAGTCCAATGTCATGATGCCATGCCAATGCCATGCCAGGGGCCACACGAACCTATTCTCGAATCCCCTCACCCCGTGAACGATCTCCTGCGGCGTCTGCCCACCCTGGAACCGCGCTGGCACCTTTCCATGCGCCTTCTGCCCCTTGTGACCTCGCCCGGAGGTCTTTCCCTTGCCTGACGATGGACCGCGACCGCGACGGATGCGCTTGTTGTATGCGCCTGGGTTGTCGGAGAGGTTGGCCAGGATGGAGGCATTGCGAGCTTGCAGGAAGGGTACAAGGAATGCGGATATCGGCCGTGGAGATGAAGGTACTGCCCGGCGGCAATATGCCGACAGGACTGGCGGTAATCGTGGAGGCATTGCTGTGGCCGACGTCGTGGCGGGGGGTGGTGTTGACGGCGGCGAGATTTGTGTTTTGATATCATGTATTCTTTCACGATAGGTACGGTACCTATTCTAGCTATGTATAATTCTCACGCCGCTTTTGCCGAGTCCAGTGCCGCTTTTAACGGGGCCGACCCATCTGGGCGGTGATGGGCATTGGGGTCTTGTCAACCGAAATGAGATTTGTTACATCGTACATTCTTCAGACTCCAGCAGAGTAGTCATCCGGAACGGAACAACGGGACCCGAGACGATGTCGATACGGAATCCCTTTTGGGAATGTTGAATGGTGATATCTTCCACTCTGTCTCTCGCTGCCCCCCGAACGTGCTTTCCAATCTGGGAAAACTCTTCGGCAATATCAATATCCATATCAAACATATCCCGACGCCGACAACAACCCGGCTCCCCGACCACCGTGGGCCGCGTCCACATCAACAAGCGGCGGCTTCTCGTAGTGCTCGTCTCTTCCGGCTCTGTGTTCCTCCCATTCAACTTTCTCTTGCTTTCTGTGTCCGACTGATCAAGGTTTAAGGAAGTGGCATTCCCTCTCCTGGGGCAATTGCATGTCCTGAACAGCTTTTACCGGGACCAGAACCAGGAGAGTGGTTACTTTGCCGAACTTGCAGCCATCAATGATGACCACCCCATCACGAGTCTCTTGAGGGCAGTGGATGAGGCCTTGATGCAATATGAGAGAGGAAGATCCAAAACCTTCAGAGAGACTCTGTAAAGGTACCGAAAGAGGTATGGCAGGCATCCGCCGCCAGGCTTCCACCAATGGTACAAGTACGCACGCGAGCGGAACGTGTACAATGTTGACGACTTCGACCAAATCATGCACGATCTTCGGCCCTTCTGGGGCATTGAGCCGGCCAACATTCGAAAGCTTGCTGCGTACATGCACAAGACCAGTGATGGCATCTCAGGAATGCACATCCGAAACAAAAAGGTCAAAGAAATGACCAATGCCAACTGGCGTATAGAGGCCTTCAGGAAAAGTATCCGACCATTTGTCAAATTTCTACCGGACATAGAAATTTCCACGAACATTCATGATCAGCCGCGAGTGGTCGTTCCCTGGGATGATATGTAAGAGCCGAAACATCAACCCAGATACCCTGCCTCAGTTTTCACAAGGCTTGTCAAATCTCTATGATCCGAAAAACCAGTTCTCCCGAGACTATCGATCCGAAGTTTTCGGAGCTTCGAGAGAACCTTATATGAGCATTGCGCAGGAAGCATGTCCGCCACTGTCCCGAGCCAGAAACCAGACGGTGGGATTCGAAAGCGATTGGCGCAGGGACATCCATGGATTTGTTACAAACTTCAACCGCTCTTCAGATCTGTGTGTCGTGGGTCCTGATATTCAAGACAAGCACGGTCTTCTGTTCGCTTCAAGTACGATGACGGCCAGTAGACAGCTCCTCCCGGTATTTGGAGAATGCAAAACAAACATTAACAGCGACATCCTGTTCCCAGCGAACATGTACACCATGTCTGATAATCGATACGTCTACGACAAGACCTACGATGTCGATTGGGCCGATAAAAACGACACGCTCATGTGGAGAGGCGTGACTTCAGGAGTAGCCAACACGATTGATAACTGGGAACAGATGCATAGATCCCGGCTTGTCCTCTTGACCAACGCGACGATCCAGGCGGACAAAGAAGTCCAAATCCTCAGTGGAGATCCAGACCTGAAAAGCTCATACCACACCTCCAACAATTTCAATGCCAGCGACTTCGCTGCCCAGCATACAGATGTTAGTTTCACGGCGGGCATTTCCTGTCTTCCGGGTTGCGTATTCCTCGGCAATTTCCTGTCGTACAAGACGGTTTCGGAGCTGAGCAAGCAGTTTATGTCCAAGTACCTCATCGACGTTGATGGGCACTCATTCTCGGGGAGATGGTACGCCTTTCTGAAGAGCAAGAGCTTGGGTATCAAGAGCACGATCTTCAGAGAGTGGCATGACTCGAGACTGTTTGCTTGGAGGCATTTCGTCCCGCTCGATACCTCATACGAAGAGCTTTACAGCATTCTGACCTATTTCATAGGCATCGGATCGGCGTCCAGCTCTCTCAAAGAAGGGGCTCTGTACGTGCCTCGGCATGAATTTGCCGCTCGACGCTTGGGAAAACAAGGCAGAGGGTGGGCGGGGAAGGTGCTGAGGCGTGAGGACATTGAGGTGATTTTTTACTTTTTTTCCTCTGTAATAATGCGAGAGCTGTGCATGTTGAGAATTCAAACCCGCTTCCAGATCTACACGTTCCGGCTCCTTCTCGAGTATGCCCGAGTCAGCGATGACAATCGACACGCCATCGTCTACGGGGGCGATGGAAGCGAGATGGACGAAGTCGATGAGAGGCACCCCTTTCCGTAGATCGGTAGGTATGTATATATGCTGTATGCGTGTCTGTCTTTTTTCTTGGAATTCCAGGGCATGCAGGCAGGCTTTGGGCGCCTGGTCGAGAGAGCATGTGGAGCGGATCGGAGCATGGTGGAAGATGATACCCCCCTTTAATGCCATTTCAATGTGCAGGTAACAGGTAAAGAGATGATTTGTCGTGCGCTGTAGGGCTATAAAATACTGGAAACTGCAATGTGCATTGCAGGTCTGCTTTTGCATAACATAATTCCCATGTTTTTCTCTTTTTCTGGTCCTCGTAGGGCTAATATATATATGTATATATACATATCTTTACCAGTGAGAATCATAATTTGAGAGAGAAACGAGAGATGGACGGATATCATTTCGCTATTGTTGCAATTCGTCTTACTGCTGAGGAAGTAAGTACTTTTGATTTTTGTAGTGATCTATTCATTTATGTATGTATATATGCATGTATATATGTATGTATATATGTCTAACCTTCTCTACCTTGCACTTTTTCTTCATCCGTCAATTGTTTACCAGACCACCAACCGAGATAAGATCCCTTTTCTCTGTAATGGGAATTAGGATTGGGGTTGGGATTGGGATTAATTATGGGCCCCTCCTTTCTTTCATTCTTTTCCCTTGAAGCCCTATTTTGTTTTGTTTTGTTCAAGCACAAACAGACAGGTAAGGAGCGGGAGAGGGGAAGGGGGTATTTTTGAACTGTGCCTGGGAATGGTATAGAAGTGGATTTTGCACTTAACTGATCCAAAGAAAAAAAAAGAAAAAAAAAGGGAAAACCATTGTCTTCTTCTTCTGATGTGTCAGGTGCTAGGTAAGTAATTTTTATCCCCTTCCTTTACTCGTAGAGAAAGAAATAAAGAAGAAGAAGAAGAAGAAAAAGAAGAAGGGGGAGGAGACAGCAAGACAGCGGCTTCTTCTCCCCCCCCTCCCCCACCCCCTCCTTCCCCCTGCTTCTTCTTTGAAAACGGTTGTTATAAGCAGGAAGAAAGAGAAGAGAAGATAAAAGGGACGCAGGGAGGTATGGATGACTGCGTTGGCGGGCGATGGAATCGTAAAGACAACAGATTCTTTCGTTGTATCCTGTACGTATCCGTGTATCACCTACCCAGGAAGTAACTTTGCTCTTCCCTTCCCCTCTCTTTCTACTGTTACAGCTAGTTTGTACAATAAGCTTGGTTATGACATGATTCCTTTTGTGTGTAGTTTTTTGTGTGTGGCTTATTTTCATTTGATGCAGTGACCCCTCTCTTTCTTCATCCGCTCTCATCGTTGTCGTTGTCATCGTCGTCTTCTTATCCTGCATACACCGCCGGTACCGATCAGAAGAAAAAAACTCCAGGAGCCGAGCGATCACACTTGGGAGAGTATTCATGCGGCGCCTGCGTCACAGAAAGAGGCAGGAGGATACAGGAAGAAGCCGGTGTTGGCTCTGAATAGTAGGAAGTACGAGAGGTGTTAGGCCCGAGCTTTTTCTATGGCAAAGTAGAGTAATTCAAATATATACATATATATATATTCTTGGGGTAGGCTGCATTAGAGGTGAAGCGTTTATTTGCGCCTTATGGGTAAGTAAGATTGGGAAGTTGATGTGGACCTCATATAAAGCGATCCCAGCCCCGTCTTCCATCAACTGGCGGAACTCGGGGGCCATGGCTTAGTGGCTCAAGCCCTCAAGTTCCTGTCCAGTTGGTGTAGAATTCGCCGTGAGACCCTTCGCCCAATTATCATCGGAAAAACCTATTCAGTTAGGTTTCTAGACTAGAACCTCATATCATCATCCCGTATCCGATGATATGAGCTTCTGGTTGAGTTTTGCCTTTTTTATTGCCATATATATATATTTTTTTCCCATTTTCTAGGCATTCTTTTCAAAGGATTCTGTTACTGTTATTGATGGTGATGATTTACCGGGGTGGGTCCGGGACTATTGCAGATTTTATCACTGTAAGAGGAGTTACAGCAGCTCGGGACCTAGATCGAAAGCTAGTAGGAGAGTAATGCTAGTATTCCAGGCAGAGAGAAGGTCGGGTCCAATGGATACTTTCGGAATCGAAATGAGGAATTATGGTGAAGTGAGCCGCAAACCTGCGGACCGGAGGTTCAGGGGCTCGCTTAGCCGATCAACAACTCTCCACTCCTAGCGATCATCCAGCCCGGGCTGAGTTTGATTTCTGGGCGCTTGTACAGTTACTACGCAGAGGAAATCGGACGATCTAACCTTGTCGACTTATCAAAGGATCCGGGTACTTCGTGGCACTTTGTAGCTCTACATGTGAAAGAAGAAGCAAGGGCGTAAAGAAAGCCTTGCGCCGGGCAAAGAAGTTTGACGAGCAATGATGCTGCCCACTTACTTTGATCTCTCCATTCAAGAAACTATCATCCCTTTAGGATATGACTCAAGATTGTTGTAGACCCAGCTCAAAGCCGATCCATGGCTTTTTTTGTCCACACACCCCCCCTTTATCCTTCCCCACTCCTCTTCATAGATCAAATATCCTTCCTCTTTCCCCCTTCCTACCTTCCAAATCGCGCGCACCTACTAATACCAGTAGTGCACCCAGCTCACCAATGGAGACGATTCGCCAACCTTCAAACGCGCAACTAGAAACTGACACCCCCTCCAATCTCGCCATCGTCGCCAAATACTACTGGATTTTCTCGGGTCCGGTATTTGTGTTTCCAGCACTCGCGTGGATCATCTACAAAGTCTACCAAGGGAAACCTTACACCTTCGATAGAAGATTCCCCTGGTGTCATCGAGCGCTGTCGAGTCCGAGCGCGAGACGGAACGCGGAGGAGCGAGATGAGCGGCAGGACCCTTTGCAGACGCTGCGAGGCGATGAGTCTAGGATGGGATCAGGAGATGTGGAGGAGGAAGGAGAGGTCGGAAAGAGAGCAGGCGATCCAAGTATGCGCACACTACCACGGCGCTCAGTGCCAGCGTTGCGAGGACAGTTCATGCGGAAGATGCCGGGTGGTACTGATCGGCGGGAACGGGGGCCGAGGAGAGACAGCAAGAACCGAAGACGACAGCGGGAGCGGCAGAGATCGGTATCGATGGTCGAACTCCCACGAGGGGGCGGATTGGAGGGAGCGGGACGGCCTATACAGCCACGGCCGTGGGAGGGAGGTGTTCTACCGCTGGGGTTCAAGCTACCCACCATTGCAGCGACCGCGCCGCTTCTGCCGACCCAGTGGCGAGATGGGTCAGGGGTCCGATTACTATCGGCTTCAGGAACTCCCGACGGGTCAATACCAGAATCACAACACCTGGCAGGCCCAAGAGAGGTCCCGTTGGCAGTCTCAACGCCAGAGTCCGGATCGCAACCGCCAAGCTCAGTACAGGTCCCGTCAGCAACCACTGCAGGACAATCAGGATCGTCAAAACCTGTACCCCAGCCGCAACCAAGACAGTCCTCACTCCCCGTCCCGAGCCAGAGGATCCGGCAACTACCCAGCGCAAAACCATCATCCTGAAACTAATGAGCTTCCCGGGTACCCGGCTTGGTTTTGGAGCAGACGAGTTGCTTGGTTCGGGTCTGTTCCGTTTGATGAAGATGGCCAAGGATATGGGTATCGCAGTCGCGGAAGAGAAGAGAGATGTACTGCATGTGGTGCTGATGAGGGACGAGAGATGAGGAGTAGAGGGAGGAGAGGTGGGAAGAAGAGAGGTGGAGGGTTGTGGGGTCGTATCTTGGGGGTTTGAGCGTTAAGACAGTGACAGACGTGCCTAAGGACTTGGGGTTGTCATGGAGCCATGCAGTATTCTGTTTTTTTTTTGTGGAAGTAGGTGTATTTTCTGCTCAGTAGACAACCGAGATTTGATGTTGTGTTCGGGCTCAGGGGCTTGGCTTGCTTCGCTCAAAGCATCTAAACTCTGTTGACATCCAATCCAACATCCCTTCCGCCCATCTGCATTTGCTATACAGCTCTGCTTCTTGTGAGTGATAATATCTACTCCGAATTTATGCAGTAATTATGTGAGTAATAATGCTTTGCAGCAACGTAGTGTTGAAGAATTTCTCTAAGCTGCAGCAGCACGACGATCTGGCGAGTTGCCATATATCCGGACCATCACTCTTGCACTGTTTGAAGAGAGAGGCAGGCCACCAGAAGAAAGTGTGTTAGGGAAGTAACTTCGAGGAAACATGAAGCTATTATAGCCTAGGGTTGCTATTGCTAGTTGTGCCATCCCAGCCTTGACTATCCAACTGAGAGTCGATGATCTTGGCTTCTTTCCCGCTAACTCTGGGCAAAAATGTAGTGGTGATATTACGGGCTTCGCACGCTGGCGAGCATCCTTATCCAAGAGAGAATTCAACTGCCCAGCTCGTATTTGTGGGCGTCACCTTCATAGAGGAGCTTCAGCACCGGCATTGCCCAAAACCTCTTCAATCACATCTTCAGCCCCAATCCCCTCTAACAATGCCGATATAGCATCTAAATCGCTGCCCCATTGCATGCTTCGCTCATTTTCAGGCTTAACGATATGGATACGGTGTGGGAATATTTTCCTGGCAGCGAGGGCTATGAGAGAGGGTGTAGCGTATTCCAAGCTATGTAGGGGGGCAAGACACTTTGCCAGCTTATCAAGGTGTTTGGACGAGGTTGCTGAGATACCGCCAGCGACAGCCCGGTGAATACGTAAGAAGGATATGATATCTTGTTGGTAGCGCTTTACTTCTACACTGACTGTAGCGACTTCGGCTAAGGTGGACAAGTGTTCGATGTCCTGGATTCGATTAGCACTTTGAGTCAAGAGTGGTAGTTCTTCGAAGGGTGCTAACAATAGCTGATATCGTTGGCCACAGGGACCCCTCATTCTCAGGAGTAGGACTCTTCTTCACCACAGAAGATATCGAGTCCCCATCATCATACATGTCTTCCAGATTCGGAAGCCCATCCTCCGGATCGTGAAAGTGTGAAATGAACATATAGTCATTCAAATGCTTCGTCAACCTGGGTCCCTCCCCGCCTCCCAGCAACGCAATGAACAAAAAGCGTCTCGGCACATTATGGACTGATGTTCTGGTGTATATCCTCCCTGTTCGCATAAGCTCCAAAGCCTGTATTTGGACCTGTTTGGGAGCCTCGTCCAAATTTTTGGCAATGATGACGTTCGCGATTGACTTGTTGTCACTGCTGAAGGTCTCGGTGACTGGAGAACGATTTGCAGATGCAAAGGCGGGTGTGTTAAGGAAGTTGGAGTCTTGTCTGGTTCTTATAGACGAGTTCGAGCGGGTACGAGTGCGCTCTACGGATAGAATGGCGTGGGCGAAGTCGTCGAGGGTTGTATGCTCGTAGCAGTCGACAACGGCGTTGGATAGACCAAAGACTTTCGAGGCGATCTACGTATTGTGATTATTATTAGAGATTGCCAGTTGAGCAGAATGTAACATCTCACCAGCTGCAGCTCCTGGACCAGATCGTCTATTGCATCCGGCTCGGTATCAATGATACAATGCTCCTCTGCAACGAGGCAGATCAAAGCCGCGAGTTCCAAGTCGCTCAGTTCCTGGACCTTCCCAATGTCGAAATCTTCTGCCATTAGGCCACAGGGAGGAGTCGCTCCCCCATATCCATATCCAGGTCCAAAGTGATTTCCCTCTGTCGGATAGTCACTCGAGCAGGAATCACTGGTTGCTGCTGTTGTGGTTGTCGTCGGGTCGGGACTGTGACGGACGTCGTTGATGGATAGATGTTCCAGACATGTTCTAGTTTCGAGCTCGGGCCCCACCTTATTTGCGAACACCAGCCCAGCTGAGCTCTCTCTCTCTAGTATTCCCAACTCATCTTGCTTGCATATACAGACTCCTCTTTGAACGGAATGAGCGTAAACCGATTATCTGGTGATGGCGAATCCAACGGCGGAATGGGAGAAGGTAGGGGACAAGTTCTACAGGAAGATCCAGCTCTACACGGCCGTTTTTGACCAGGACCTGGAGCTTGAGAACTATATTGTGGCAGGATGTTCTTATGGGGGTGCTATTGGTATGTGATTGATTGGTCCTGTTACCTCATAATTTTGGTTTTTTATTTCAGTTCATCGTATCAGTCTGTATCTTCTTTAATATTTCAGAGAAGAGAGTCTGTGGACTGTCGAGCCGCTTTCTGGCTATGGATCGATCAGTCATGTCTTCTCTCCTGGTGCAGCGGTTGGAGGAGATGGATTATACTTCATGAAATCCTTGTTCTCTCCGTTTATACCCATTGCGATCGTTTTTGGGTAGGAGGAAACTTCCAGGAGATCCATTGAAGCCCGTTTGATATTACACGGGTCTCGTGATGCTGCGTTGCTGCAATGCTACCTTGTTCTTGGTCTTTCTCATGCTTCCTGGACTATATTTGGCTAATTTCTCTGACTACCAAAGCCTTACATCGAGATGAGACAAAACTCCATTCATTCCGAGGCACCCAAGCCTCCAAGTCCAGCATCGACCTCTACAGTTGTGCCGGAAAACTCATCCGGAGCATCAACTGGGACAAGGGATCAATCAGAGGCTTAGGCTGGTCAGAAGAAGAGAAACTCATAGTTGTAACGGCGGATGGTATGTTCAGATGCTACGATATCCAAGGAGACTTTGCGCAGTTCTCACTCGGACACGGCGCTGAAGAACACGGCGTCACAGCTTGCAGGTCTGTACTCAGGTATGTATCTGTGAGAAAACGACTGAATTTGGAACAGATTCTACGGCGGCGGTTTCGTTGCTCTACTTTCAAATAACCATCTCATATCCGTCTCTCGCTATGACGAACCACGCCCGAAATTGCTAGCTCCGCCACCAGAGGGAGATGTTCATTCCTGGACGCTCATCGCTCCAGCATACACTCTTTCTCGGTCCGTGGAGGTTCTATTGAGCATAGGTCAAACGATTTATGTTGTCGATGCAACCGAAGCAGAAGATCGTATGCTGGATATTGGCCCCTTTACTCACATCAGCGTCTCTCCGAATGGAAGATTCGTTGCTTTGTACACTGAAACCGGAAAGGCATATGTCATCACCAGTGACTTCCAAAACAGACTTAGTGAGCACGATTCCAAATCGAGGATTCCTCCCAAGGATGTCCAGTGGTGTGGTAACGATGCGGTTGTCATTGCTTGGGAGGACGAGGTCCAGATCATTGGGCCTAGCAATGCAGCTGCAAAGTATTTCTATGACGGAAGGGTACATCTGATTGCAGGTAAGCATCCCTTCCACTATGCTATTCGGTGGGACTTTATGCTAAAGTATCCCAGACCACGATGGAGTCCGTCTCATCACGAACGAAGTCTGTGACTTTCTACAAAAAGTACCAGAAGTAACGGACGAAGTCTTCCGATTCGGCACAGGATCACCAGCCTCGATCCTCCTCGATGCTGTCGAGCAACTTGAGAACCAGTCCCCAAAAGCAGACGACAATATCCAGCTCATCCGCCCCAACCTCGTCGAAGCAGTAGACACCTGCGTACTCCCCCTCCCCTGTCCTCCCCTTTCCTTTCTCAAAGAAGCCGACTGACCCCCTCAAGGTCAAAGCAGCCGGCCAGGAATTCTCCATCCAACAGCAAAAACAGCTCCTAAAAGCCGCCTCTTTCGGGAAATCCGTCCTCGACATCTACAACAGCGACGATTTCGTCGACATGTGCGAAACCCTGCGCGTCCTCAACGCAGTCCGCTACTACGAGATTGGCCTTCCCCTTTCCTACGAGCAATTCTTAGGTCTTACCCCTGAGAAGCTTGTTCAGCGGCTCATCAACCGCCGCGAGTATCTCCTCGCACTTCGCATCTCCTCCTACCTTCGCCTCCCCACGGATAGAATCTACGTATCCTGGGCCTCTCAAAAAGTGCGCGTCGGCTCCGAAGACGAAGACACAATTTGTCGTCTCATTGTCGAAAAACTGGCAGGGAAGCGAGGCATTTCGTTTGAGGAGATTGCTCGCGCAGCTTACGACGAAGGACGTGGCCGGCTCGCTACCGAACTGCTGAATCACGAGCCCCGAGCAGGAAAACAAGTTCCGCTCTTGCTCAGCATGGAAGAAGACGAGATCGCGCTCGACAAAGCTATCGAGAGCGGGGATTCAGACCTAGTGTTCTTTGTGCTGCTGCACCTGAAGAAAAAACTGCCTCTAGCGAGCTTTTTCAGGGTCATTAATTCGCGGCCCGTGGCGACTTCTCTCATTGAGTCTTCCGCCCAAGCCGATGACGCGGAGCTGTTGAAGGATCTGTATTATCAGGATGATCGGAGAACGGACGGAGCGAATGTCTTTGTGCGTGAGGCGCTTAGGCAGCCTGATTCCCGCACAGCTATTGATAAATTGGCATTAGCCGCGAAACTACTGTCCGAGTCAAAAGAGAATGCGGTGGAGCTGAAAGCATTGCAAGACGCGAGCTCGTTGCTGAAGATGCAGGAAGCGTTGGATCGGGACTTAACGGAGCATTTCACGGGACTGAGCGTCAATGAGACGGTGTTCAAGTTGATTCGATTGGGTTACTCAACCAGAGCGAAGAAAGTTATCAGCGAGTTCAAGGTGCCGGAAAAGACGGCGGCGTGGCTCAGGTATTTCCTATCTGATTCCTCTCCCACTCCTCCAACTCCATATCAACGACACATTACTGAAGTTCAGCAGACTCCGCGCCCTAGTATCCGCGCGCTCCTGGCCCGAGCTAGAAGAGATGTCCAAAACCCGCCGCTCCCCAATCGGGTGGGAGGTATTTTCTTCCCATTCTCCTATTCCCTTGTCATTCCCAATAGCATTTCCACTCCCATTGCCGCATCCTCGGAAGTCCTTGAGAACTGTTCACTCTTCCTCCTCCCTCCTCTCACCATTCTCCAATCTCCAATTTCAGTTCACTAATATGTTCACACACAGCCCTTCTTTACCCTCATCCTCGCAGCCGGCAACCCCAAGCTCGCCAGCACATTCATCCCGAAAGCCGCGTCCTCATCCTCTCTCGAGCCTGGCGAAACAGTCGCCATGTACGAGAAGTGCGGGATGCGGGTTAAAGCCGCCGAGGTACGTTTCCCTTATTTTCTTCTTTCCCACATATCCCTTGCCATCCCATCTCATCCTATCCCACCCTACTCCGTACTCCCGCCGCCTAGTCACGCAATGAAAGGAGAACAAGCAAAACATACCCCGAGAGAACAGATCCATATAGAGAAAGACATCTCGTCGACGACCCGTATATATACAAAACATGTGTATATCTGCTAACCTACCCACTCTGCAGGAAGCAGTCAAGATCAAAGACATTGACGCTTTCGACCGTCTCCGAGCCGCCGCTGGCCTAGGCACGGCCGAGGGCCGCGAAATCGAGAGGCTAGGCGCGGCCTTGAAGCGGTGATCTATCTATTCACCTATCTATCTATGTCTCTTCCGAGACTCGTCCTATCCCCCGCCTCCCTCTCTTTTTTTTTCTCTGGAGATGGGGACATAGGGTGGGTAGGAAGTGAGCTCTATGTTCTGGCCTGGCCTGGCCTAGTCTAGCTGATCATGATCATGATCATAAATCTTGACAGGGAGTGGGGAGGGAGGGAGTCTTGTTGGCAATCCATAAAAATCCATCCAAATCCATAAACCAGAGAAATCAGAATCCAGAAATCAACCCCCAACCTCAACCTAGGCCCCCAACAAGATCCAACGTTCTAATCTTAAAAGTCTTGTCGTAAATAAATTCATTCTCGTTCCTCTACACTTTTTTCATCTCTTCGAGAAATTCCTATGACTTACATAGATAGGTACCTACCTACCTTACCTGATGTACCTTCATTCTCAAACCAGTCCTCGCTTCTTCTCTCAACTCATTTCACGACTCCCTCCGTCCACGGCCGGTTTGCATCCCGTCTTGATTTTCCATTCCATTATTATTACTATTACTTTTACTACTGCTTTTTATATACGATTCGAATCAAGTCCTTCGATTTACCATTCAAATCCCACCCTCCCCTCCCCTCCTCCCCTTTCCTCCTCTCCTCTCCTCTCCTCCTCTCCTCTTCTTCTCTTCTTCTCCTCTGCTTTCGCGCCAACTGACGCCCAGCCAGCCAGCTAGAGAGCGAGTAATTTTTTTCTTCTTCCCTTTCCTTTCTTGATCTGATCTTGATCCATTTATTAACTGATGTGTTCTTGATTAATTGATTGAGCCTCACTCAGCAGCCCCCCCCTTCCTCCACCCTTCCGCGAGCCTACCACCCATATGCAAACAAACGAATTTTACTCTCCTCCACTGCCCCTTAGAGGCTATTATGATCTCATCTCATCTCATCTGTCCCGTCGGTAAAACCGCTCTGTAATTTACACAAATCTTGCTCCTGCTTGTTGCTCCAGCCCTACCTTGCCCCGTATGCAAAAAAGCAAAAACACAGAAAACAGAAAGCAAAAGGCAAAAAGCAAAAAGCAAACAGTACCACCCACCCCCGCGCCTCGCTAAATACATTAACACATGAGTCTCTCGGATCGCTTCTGTCATCTTGAAACCTCGCATCAGAACTCCCATGTCCGATCCTCTTATTCACATGATCTTGTTGGCACAGGGAAAATGCCGAATTCAAGAACCAGAACTAGGCGGGGGAAGTTCAAGCAGGCGGAGGAGTGTTAGTCACCCCGCCCACATTCGCCGGCTCCGCCACTCTCCCACCGGCCGATCGTCCAGCACTCCCGTCAAACACGAACGGGCCGATATCATTCCGCGGGGTCATTGGGCCCTCCGCCCCGGGGCCAGAGGTGGGACTCGGTGTACGTACTGAGCGGAGACGCGACCGCTCGTGTCCGTTATTTCCAGCTGCCTTCCTTGCAATGTTGACTGGAGGGACGGTAGCGTTGGATACAGCATGGTCCGGGTCCGAGTCTTGGGACGGGGAGGGAGACTCCTCAATATTGAGATAACCCATTCCCTCGACTCCTCTATGCACTACCTGGTCGGCACCGGAAGAGTCACTGACTTCTGCGACATCAACGTCGCTGTGGCTGCTGCGGTCGGGCTCGGAGTGGTCTTCCGCCTCGACTAGAATACCTGTATCCTCAGAAAGCATAGCTAGACGGTTGGAGGGTTCCTGTACTGCTGGGGCGGGTTCGACAGGTGGTGGAAGTTCAGATGTTGCATCCGCATCTCCGGCTTCTATAGCGTCCCAATCCGCGTTCGCAGAGGGATCGTCAAGTTCGGCTTCGAGGTCTGAAACGTCTCTGCAGTTGGGACAGGTGAAGTGTGGCCACATGGGACCGTTGATTATCACCCGGATACATTTGTAGTGCCAGGTGTGGGAGCACGGGGCAACGAAGAGGGATTGGCAGGGCTGGCGAGTTGTTAGGACGTTTGTACTCCCTAAGAGAATCGAGGATTGGGGAAGTCGTAGTGTGAAGGAACTTTGAAGATAAAGAGAGGTTCAACTCACAGCAATTGGCCCCAGGCAAATGGAGCAGTCCTGAGAGGATCCACCTGCAGTTGATCTTGGGGCGTTATTGAGCTCTCTTAGACGCTTGTGTGCTTGCACGCTGTCGAAATGTCAGCTTGGAGCAATCACAGAAAAGGGTATAACTGACTTGAAGCTGCTTGGTCCATTCTGCCACCCTTTGTTCAATTCTACCCTGATCTTCACACATCTGAAAATCATTTCCTCACCCCCTTTGAAGTCAATTCCTAGTTGTACGATATCTCCGTCATTTACTGGAAATGGTTTCGACTCATTACCTGGAGAGCTGAGTCGGATGTGATTTAAAAATGTGCCAGACGAGCTCTTGACATCCTTGATAAACCAGCGTCCTCCAGAGCACCAGAATTCACAGTGTCTTCTGCTGACTACCTTTGACTTGAATCCGACAGGGGCAGATGAAGGGACATTCGCTGCTTGCGTAGGGTGGCTGTCTCGCTCGGAATATCGGCCAACCTTGATTGTCTCCTTGCCAGTGGGTAGTATGCGGGCCATCGGGCTGAACAACAGTGATGGTCGCTGTGCTCGGGGGTCCTGATGGGCTGAGAAGCGTATGGAGGGCAGTTGGTGTGCCATGCCTCTCGCATTTTCATTCGCATCTGTTGCCAAAGGAAGCTCCACCTGTTCTCCTCCATTTTCTGCCGGGGTATATGTAGGGCTCCCTGAGAAGTCTGCGGTGCGTGTGCGAGCCATCGAGGCCGTGAGGTCGGAAGCCAGGCCCGACGGGTTACTTCCAGACAAAACAGCAGATGATGAGCCGGTAGCAGTCGATTGTGGTTCTGTAGCAATGCGTGATACGGCACTCTGTCCTCCCACGGTTGGCAGCCAGCCACTGGTGCTTCCTAGAGGACTGTCGGAATTGCTCAATCGCGCAAAGGGGATGTCAGAGGGCATGCGTTGCGCACTAGGGGTAGACGAGCTGACAGCCTGTTGTTGAGGTGGTGCAGCAGCAGCAGTCGGAGTCGGAGCCGGAGCCGGAGTTGGCGAGCCCGCAGAATCCCTGGACATTGATGTCGAGGCCGGATAGCTCGTCGATCGACCCAGTGGTGTTGGGTGCTGCGGAGGGGTGGCGTAGTTGCTGCTGCTGCCGCTGCTGCTGCTGCTTTGGTTTGGAGGGTGCGAGTGATTTTGGCTGTGATGACTATCCCGCGATAAGATATGATTCTGGGTATAACTTCGTAGATAGCTCAGACCCCTCAGTCGGCCAGTCCGACCGGTGGGCGAAATTGGCGCGGCAGGGGACGGAGAGGCTGCCGACGTGATCCTCTCGAGATTCGGAACAGACCCTTGGGTCCACTGTGGTGGTGGTGGTGGTGGACTGGGGACCGAGGAATACATTGTTTGCATGCACGCTGTTCTTGGGCGGGCGGCCGGGAGGCTTTGAGTTGTAATGAGATGAGTTGAGTGAGAGGGAGAGGGAGAAGGGGGGAGAGTTTGTGTGAAGGGGAGAGGTGGTGAGGTAGGTGAGTAGTGAGGTGAGTGGTGAGGTGAGTGGTGAGTGGTGAGATTGAGGTGAGGTTGAAGTGAGGTTGAGGTTGAGGTGAGGTTGAGGGTGAGGGTGAGGTGAGGTGAGGTGAGTTAAGTTAAGCTGATTTGAGTTGGAGCTGAGAGGGGGAGAGGAGGTCGTAAATATCCGAGGCCGTGGCTCTGGCTTTTTTTGCTTTGGCGGGAAGATGTCTCAGTCTTCGATCGGTCGACCCAGCGCACTCGCTCGCTGGCTCAACAGACGGCGCTGGCTTACACCTACAAACGGATGTATAGATAATTAAATAGAAAGAGGCGAGTCAGTGAATGAATGAATGGGTAGGGATGGAGACGGTCAAGGTGTCAGCTGATGTGGGATGTACCGGTAGAGTGAGTTCTTTGATAAGCAGCGCAAGCATGATGGACGGATGGATGGATGGATGGATGGGATGATATCAATGCTATGTATATGTACGGGTACCGGTACTGGTATGCATGCCAGCCATGCCATGCTACCGCTATTCATTCCATGCTACTGTAGGGACGAAGTATACTATACACGGCGTATACCTACTACCGATACCTACCGATGCTCTCTCTCTCTCTCCGCGCCAATAACAACAAGCAAACGACACCAACACCAGGACCAGGACAACTTCCGTCAGGGCCAATTGCTAAAGGCTAAATGCTCAATGCTCAATGCTCAATGCTCAATGCCAAATGCCAAATGCCAAATGCCAAATGCCAAATGCTCCAGGTCGGAGGGGGAGAAGCGAGAGGTTGGGCTGGGCAACCCGCTTAAGGGTCGGTAGATATGGTACCCCGTACCTAGGTACCTAAAATACTGTGTGCATCCGAGCGGGATGAAATACTCCGTAGGGCTATAAATACAATACAGAAACCTAGGTACTTTGATCGAACACACCCAACAACCTCGGTTAGATGTAACTAGCTTCGTAAAGGGCTGGCTTTATGCAGTACATACTAGTACGGTATGTACGTAGTACATAGACATGTCGATAATATCTAGTCACGTGATAAGAAATCGCGTCGGCTTGATTCTCAATAGCCGACATCTCGAGACGGAGGGAGACAAAAAAAAAAAGAGGATCGCTCTCTAGTTGCGTCGCTATCCAACGATCAACCAACCCACGCCGTCCTCCACCATGCTAAAGTGCTCTTCATCACAGTCCAGGACCCTCGCACGCTCATTCTCTCAGAGACCCATAATCCCTACTATATCCCCTTCCTTCCGCACCGGAAGCAGAAGCAGAAGTCTAGCGACCGTCGTAGAGCCCATACAGAAAGTACGCCTTGATTCGAATTAGCTCTTCCAAGCGCGGCGCATGGCTGACTGGACCACAGGACCCGGCAGAACTCGACCAAGTATCGACCTTACCAAATGGCATCCGTGTCGCGACGGAAGCCCTGCCAGGCCATTTCTCGGGCGTGGGTGTATTCGTCGATGCCGGCTCCCGATATGAGAACGACTACCTGAAAGGTACGAGCCACATCATGGACAGGCTCGCCTTCAAATCCACCCAGAAACGCACGGGTGACGAGATGCTGGAAGCGCTGGAGAGTCTGGGTGGGAACATACATTGCGCGTCTTCAAGAGAATCCTTGATGTACCAGTCCGCAACCTTCAACTCCGCCGTCCCAGCGACCCTGGCCCTGCTCGCGGAGACGATTCGGGAGCCGTTAATCACGCATGACGAAGTCAATGAGCAGGTGCAGACGGCAGCGTACGAGATTGGAGAAATCTGGTCCAAGCCCGAGCTGATCTTGCCGGAACTGGTGCATATGGCTGCGTTCAAGGACAACACGTTGGGGAACCCGTTGCTGTGTCCGGCCGAGAGACTTAGGGAGATCACCAAGCCCGTTATCGAGACGTACAGGAATACCTTCTTTCGACCCGAGAGAATGGTGGTCGCGTTCGCAGGGGTCCAGCATGAAGAGGCTTTGCGATTGACGGAGCAGTATTTCGGGGACATGCCGAAATCAGAGACTCCTCTCCTCTCACAAGCAGGAGTTGCAACGTCTCCGGGCTCATACACCGGCCAAAGCAGCTCGGAATCTACGGCATCCCCGCCACCAGAAGAGCCCTCCGGCATACTATCCCGCATGCCCTTCTTCACAAAAGCCACGAACACCGCCCCAACCTTAGCGCCCTCCCCAGCAGACATCACTAAATCCGCCAAATATACCGGCGGCTTCCTCTCCCTGCCCAACCTTCCCCCGCCAATTAATGCCTCCCTGCCACCCCTCACGCACATCCACTTGGCCTTCGAAGCCGTCTCCATCTCCTCAGAGGACATCTTCGCCGTTGCCGTCTTACAAACGTTACTCGGTGGCGGGGGTTCCTTCTCAGCCGGTGGGCCCGGCAAAGGCATGTACTCGCGCCTCTACACCAACGTGCTAAACCAGCACGGCTGGGTCGAGTCCTGCGTCGCCTTCAACCACTCCTACACGGATTCCGGCCTCTTCGGCATCACAGCCAGCTGCTCCCCGGGGAACGTGAGCAACATGCTCGATGTCATGTGTCGCGAGCTCCAAGCCCTGACCCTGGAATCGGGCTACCAAGCCCTTCAAGTCGCCGAAGTCAACCGCGCCAAAAACCAGCTCCGCTCAAGCCTGCTGATGAACCTCGAGAGCCGAATGGTAGAGCTCGAGGACCTGGGCCGGCAGGTGCAAGTTCATGGCCGCAAGTGGAGCGTGCGGGAGATGTGCAGGAAGATCGACGCGCTGACCGTGGAGGACCTGCGCCGGGTTGCGAGGACGGTCGTCACGGGCATGGTGCAGAACCCCGGGCAGGGCAGCGGGGCGCCGACGGTGGTGTTGCAGGAGGGCGAGGAGGAGGCGGTGACGAGGCAGCCGTTCAAGTGGGCCGATATCCAGGAGAGGATTTCAAGGTGGAAGTTGGGGAAGCGGTAGGGGGGGTTGGTGGGGAGGGGCTGTACGGATAGAGAAATGGAGCGATAGAGAAGAGGTGGGAGTGTATGTACGAATATATAATTGCAGCGAGTCCTCGCTCACTCATAGGTAGTAAGTAGTGCTGTATAATACACTCACACTCACACACACACAGAGAGAGAAAGAGAGACAGACAGACAGATGCGCAGAAGGGTAGATGACACAGGAAACAAAACAAACTTACAGACAGGCAGACAGACAGACAGACAGGTACATAACCCCAATATACATAGGCAAGGTATACTCCGCACATGAACATACATCTCGGAAGAGATAGATGCACGTCTCGATACCACCACCACCAATCAAATACAATACATCAATTACATCACTGCCAAACTCCCACTCCAACACCCTTGACTTCAACCGCTCGGTCTATCCCTGCGCTTAAAATTCTAAATCTTTAATTATCATTTCTTTTTCATTTTTTTGGGATTGAAAATTTTTTCTTTCAGACTTTTTTTTTTAAAACTTTTTTTTGAGACTCTTTTTTTTTGAGACTCTTTTTTTTGAGACTCTTTTTTTTGAGACTCTTTTTTTTGAGACTCTTTTTTTTTTTAAGACTTTTCATTTGACACTTTTTGTGAAAGAGAGGGAGACTGAAAGTGAAACGATTACATCTTTTCAAACCAAATCGAAAAAATATTTATCACATCGTGGTCATCGTGGTCATCGTAGGCCCCAGGTCTGAGAGGGGTGAGATGTGGGAGTATGGAAGTATGGAAGTATGGAAGTAATAGATAGATAGATAGATAGACAGGTAGGTAGGTAGGTGAATCCATACATGTGTGTGTATGTAGGTATACACATGTGTAAGCCTACCTACCTATGTAGTCTAAATTATCCCCCCCTCACTCCCCCCTTTTTTTTTGGTCATTTACTTGACTTTATCTCATTTCACTTCACTTCACTTCATTTCACTTTATTTCACTTCACTTCACTTCATTTCACTTCATTTCACTTCACTTCATTTCACTTCACTTCATTTCACTTCACTTCATTTCATTTCACTTCACGTAAACAATATATATAAACAATATATATATATATATTTCGTGTTTGTAAAAATTTTGGGTTTCATTTACTTCACTTTAGCTCGCTTCTAGTTCCGGTTCCAGTTCCGGTTCTATCACTGCGCATACCAAGAAAGAACGGGAGAGAGAGAGAGAAGCAAAAGAGAACCTTCAGAGAGGGTATATGATCATACCTATATATCTTCAAATCTTGAATAGTAATTTTTTTTTTTTTTGGTTTTGATAAATGTCAACGCATCTCAGGATCGAGTCTTTGAAAATGAAAATAGAGGGAAATAAAAATGACATCGGCGTTCTAAACTTACACCTTAGTGATAGCACATACACACACGTACACACCCACAGAAATTTCCCTACTCGGACGCCTGCAATGCCTGATTTGTTTGTACCCCCCCTAGACCCAAACCCTAAGCCCACGGCCAGAACAGAACAGCACAGAACAAAACCGGCCGGACCTTCTATGAAATTTCCTTGACGTTGCATTGCCATCCGGAGCCCTTTGCTAAGAGGGGAAGACTACCACAAAATTAGCAATCATAAATTCTCGAGCTTTTTGATAAAAGGGGAAGGTGACAGGAGGGAAAGAGAGAGGTTTACCTAGCGCCCAAACACCACCCGAGCTCGTTCCCCTTGATCTTCTTCGCAATCTTGATTTCGCGGTCAATCGGCATCTCGTAGCCCGTGTGCAGGAGCGCCAGCATGAAGTTCAGGTCGAGACAGTGCTCCGGGCGGCCCTGCAGCTCCTCGATGGCCTTCGGCACACTGGTGAAGACGTCCCAGCTGCTCTCGCCGCCGCAGACTTGCTCGGCCAGGCGGTGCATCTCTTTCAGCGTGAAGGATTCCGGCATGCCAAGGGGCTCGGTGCGGTCGTAGAAGTACGAGAAGGCGTAGATATCTTCTTGGCTAAATGTCTTCTCGAGAGAGGGCTGGTGGATGCCATTGAATGAGCAAGGGGCGAGCGAACAATCTTTTTCTTTGAAAAGGATCTTCTCCGCGAGCTTGCGGCATTGCGCTGGTGCTGGGGACGAAGGGCCTGTCATGTTGACGCTGATTGACTCTCCGAGCGAGTGGCCTTTTGAGAGCTTGACTTCGACGGTACGGGCCATGCCTGGCGCAATACAAGGGTTGATTACTGGCTGCGAGGTCCAGGAGGAATCTGTAGAAGACGAGTCGTGGATGTCTTCGATTAGGGTCCTGTGGATGGATTCACGTGCGGACATGAGCCCGTAGCCGAGATGAGAGTGTTGGTAAAGCTCGAAATTGCGGCCACCAAAATTGAGACTGTATTTGTGGTCTCCCTCGGCCATTTTCTCGGGAGCTGCACCTTTGAAGGTTGGCTCGAACACGATTTGAGTAGATCCTCCACCCAGGTCAAAGACGGCTGCTGTATCACTGTGGTCGGGTCCTCCAATCTTGCCGAGGAGATAGTTGGTCGTGATCCATGCGTACACGCCCTCATCTTTACCTTCCATAATGACGACGCCGTTTTGCTCCTTAGAGACGACTGGGAAGGGGTACTTGGTCTCCAGTCGGGTTCGTACGGCATCCAATATCTTCTGGCTCATTTCCGGGCCAAGTAGACGAAGTCCAGCAGTCGCCTTGACTGCGACGGGCGTGCAGCGCTTGTAGCTATCGGGAACGGATTCCATGGCAACATCCATGAGGACATCCAGACTTTGCGCAGCTCCCTCGGCATCAGTCTTGTAGGAGCTCAGCCCTGATCCACCAGGCTTCTTCTCGGTCATCTTGAACACCTCATCCTCGAGCTCTGGTGTCGAGCCACAGTTGTTAAATCGGTATACGTGGATTCGAGACCCGGTACTACCCGCATCGATCATGAGCGCATATTGGATCAGCGGCTTTGACTTGTCGCTGGACTTTGAGCACTTCGTCGTTCCAGCTTTTGGGTCGGTAACCGTCTGTCCTCCTGCATTTCCTACACTTGAAACTGCGCATCTATTAGTCGACGATCGCCCTCGTATTGTGATAATCCCCTACCTCCACCGATCGCATCTGTCCCCGACGGAGACAGGTAATAAATTAAGAAGACGATGAAGACCAAGACACCCCCCGTCTTCAAATATCTGGATCGCTGACTTTGCGTCATCCAGGCGGTTTTTATGCTCTCCAGCTTGGCTGCGGCGCTCTTGTTTGCGCCCGTCGTCGTGTATCGGTTTGGCTTTTCGAATGGGTCGAATGCAGGAGCGTTTCGGGTCGGCAGGGACACTGAAGTTCGTCTCATTCGGGGAAGTTGGATCAGCGCACAATCGCCGGACTTGTAAATGTTTGGATGTCGTTAATGTCGATGTAGAGAGCGTGTGGATTCGAGGAAAGGGTCGAGGACGGCGATGTAAGGGGGCGGGTCATGTCATTGGGAAGGGGGAGATGACTGTCTGTCAAAGCAAAGTGAAATGTCCATCTTTTTTTGGGTCACGATCTTCGGCGATAAGATAAGTAAAACCCGACGCGGGATCCTGTCGCGTCACCGAGGTAAGCCTGGGACATGGCATTGAATACGAAGTAGGAAGAATATAAAAGAACAAAACAACATACAGAATCGACATACTTTTGGTTTGAAAGATCCTATACTACACCCCCCTACCCTACATACCTCTTACAACTTACTGTCAAATTGTTTCCAAGTCAAGTCAAATTGCCACATCCCTACGACTGACCCTCAACTCGTTACCTACACATCAACATCGATATCAACATCGCCACAGATGGAAGTCCAGCTTTACGTCTATGATCTCAGCAATGGAATCGTACGTCATTTCTCACACGCCTTTATTGGGACCCAAATAGATGCTGTCTACCATACCTCAATAGTCTTGGAAGGTATCGAGTACGCCTACGATGGAGGAATTCGAACCGCAGACCCAGGACGGACTCATCTGGGCCCGCCAATGCAGATTCTGGACCTGGGCACCACCAACCTCCCTATGGATGTGATAATGGAGTATCTGGAGTCCTTGAGGGACATCTTTACGGCGGAGGTGAGGAAATGCATCCAGAACACCACGCGGCGCACAGAACTGATCAAGTAGGCTTATGATCTCTGGTCACATAATTGCAACAACTTCAGCAATGACTTTGCCACTTTCCTCTTGGGTCAAGGAATCCCCGAGCATATCACAAACCTTCCGCAGTCCGTCCTTAATACTCCTCTGGGACGAGCCTTGGTACCACAGATCAACCAAATGGCAGCACGCAGGCAAGGGCCGAACGGTGGACTTTTGGGCATCAAAGACACAGTGGAACCCCCAAAGACTGGGCAACAACGAGCCTTGACTGTGAGGGAAGTAGCTGGGATGGCCACTCTCGATAAACTGCTCGAGGAGGCCAGTACATCTTGCGCTATTATCTTCTTTACTTCGAAGAGCTGCGCTCCATGCATAAAGCTGTACCCTGTGTACCACGAACTAGCAATCCAAGCAGCACACAAAGCCATTTTGATCAAAGTCGACATCTCAAGAGCCTATGACATTGCAAACAAATACGGCATTAGATCAACGCCTACGTTCATGACGTTTCTGCACGGCAAGGAGGAGAATCGGTGGTCTGGGTCTGACCCGGCTACGCTCAGAGGCAATGTCAACATGCTGATGCAAATGGCATGGCCTGCACATCCTCACGAGTCTCTCCGTCTACCAGCTTTACGCTGTGCTAATTTGGAGCCAATCTTGTACAACAAACTGCCTCCGTTAGATAAGCTCAAGGCAAAGATGGGCCCATCTGCAGAAGACCCGGCAATAGCCAGTGTCGTGCACTTCGTAGCTGCCCGCGCAGAACACGGCGCAGCAGAAGTCACCCTCCCTGACCTCGATGCCTTCAGTCGCTCCCTTCGGCATGTCTCTTTAACCCTGCCTCCCGCTACTATGTTCGCTCTTGTAGACCTCGTCCGCGTCGCTCTCGTTGATCCTCGCCTATCCGGGTACTACGCCGAAGAAAAAAAGCATATCACTATCGCACCCCTCATCTCCCATGTCAATGCCCTTCCATCCAAAGATTGCCCCTATTCCCTCCGCCTCGTCGCCCTCCAGATGTCCTGCAACCTATTCACCAGCCCGCTCTACCCAACTCACATCCTCAACTGCAGCACGCTCACCAATCCTCTCGTCACACTGATAACAACCAGTTTGCTCGACGACACACACCACATCGTGCGCGTCGCAGCCGCCTCTCTCGCCTTCAATATAGCCACCGCAAACTCCAAGCTCCGTCTCGAAGAGCACTTGGAATCCCTTCCTGAAGGCGACCAAGTCGAGCTCGGGGCTAGTCTGCTGGAAGCCATCAGCGTAGAAGAAGATAGTGCAGAGGCGCTGAAGGGGCTCCTGCTCGCGTTTGGGTACTTGGTGTATTGTGCACCAAAGGGGGGCGAGCTGGTTGATTTACTGAAGGCCATGGATGCAAAGGGAACGGTGCTTGGGAAGGCGAAGAGATTTCCTGAGGAGGCGCTGGTGGGAGATATTGGAAATGTTCTGTTGGGTCAAGGGTTAGAGTGAGGAAGGGGGAGGGCTGGAGTAGAAGGCTATATCGGAAAGAGAGCGGCGCTCTTTGAATTGGTAATGAAGTTATGATTCCCATTGATCATTCTGACCTTGCTCCGTGAGATGCTGGCCGCAGCTACGGACGGGTTTCATGGTCTTTTCCTTGCATTTCTTTCCACTCCTTCCGATGCATGTCCGTCCATCCCTTTCAAATATTCGTTGTGTCTTGGGGTGTAAGTGGTATGCATATGTATATACTACACAAGGTGCAATGATCTGCAGCTCTGCTCTATTCTCTGCTTCTCATTCTCCCTCTCAATCCACCTCACACACGCTTCTCCGTGCCTTTTCTGCCTCTTCTCCTTCTTCTGCTGCTACCGCACGGTACAGTAAGCAGGGTAAGTAAAGTAGGTAATGTAACGAGCTTTGGCCTAAATCAAGCTTGGCAGTGGGAGAGATGTTGGGTCAGAATATATTGTAAGAACGATCGAGATATTGATCAACGTAATCCATCTACCTACCTATATTGCAGGACCATTATAATTTGCAAGCTCTTGTCTGTATCATGTATGCGTGTATATATATTTCTGGACTAGGGACTTGATAATGCTTGCTTGTGTAACGTGTTTCTGACTTGGTGATACGGTGTGCTTGGCTACTTGCATTCGAGTCTTTTTTGTATCGAAAGAGGGCTTTGGAAGGGAGAGGAGAGAGAGAAGAGGAGTAGCAGAAGAACAAGATCAGGGAGAGATAATAGAACTAAACTGGGGGAGGGAGGAAGTGGGGGGAGAAGAGCCAGCTAGGTAGCTAGCTACTTTGCTGGCCCTTTCTTTTGAATCTAGAATTGAATCGCTATTTAGCGTCTCATACCAAAACTTTATACACATATTTTGAACTCATGTATACTGTCTTTTCTTCTCCGTGTTATGTTTACTTCCTTTTTTATCTCCGTGAGAAATAGCTCGGTGCTCCTCAGAGAAGGTTTCTAGGATTTACTACCCCCTTGCTGTATGGTGAGATACCCACGGCTAATGAGTTGCATCGATGGATGTGATATCATCGAAACCTGAACTACTTATCACCGATTTTACCTGCCACATTTATAATATATGGCTTAAATCTGATGGTATTAGATAATGATGGTATTAAATAAATAGGGGTTACCATTCAAGCCACGTGATCATCTCTTGCTCGGCTAAATCAGGGGCTTCTCAACATCAGATTCTGGACTGTCCATCCTTGTGAATCGGCAAATGAGAGGATATAGGGGGAAATTTATATCTTCAAAGGCTGTATGTTTGCATTTCACCGGTAAACGATACGGGTAAATGCGGAATGCGGGAGTCAAGCGTGGGATTCTGGCATCTCGAGTAGTTTTGCATGGATGTATGTCACGAAAGGCTAGTGCGTAGAGATAAGTTAAAATTTCGCGGCTCTTCCAGTTCTGACGATGCGATGAGCTGGGGGAGTGGGATGTTTAGCAGCTCTCGTAATGTAAATTGTCGGTACTTGGAGGAAATTGATTGTGATATCTAGAGGAGATCATGATTTTGCGCGAGGGTCTGTGTTGCTTTCATCATTTACTTTGGGCCGCTTATAATAGAGTATATCGTGGTCTCGGCGCTTGGGGACTTGGTGGCTCTGGGATTCTGGGGTAATGGTCGGCCGCTGTGCAGATGGGAGTTTGATTTGCTGTCATGGCGGATGGAGGTGTGACGACTTGGAAGCTGCGCTGTGCTTGGGAGTTAGTGATCGGGAGCTTGGAAGAAGGAAGGCAAAGGCAGCGCAAGATCTGGATCTGGCTAGAGATGTTTATGTTTTGGCTCACATAGACACAGATAATTGGAAAAAGGTGGGCCATGTAAGACTTGGCTGCTGGCGAGTGTTCAGTTTTAGCTTGCGAATGCGGCTTACCCATGAGACTCAAGGCAGTCGCAGGCGAGCTCCAGCAGGCGCGCAGCTGTATATACGAGGTATTACTAGCATGTACACGCATTTAAGGCTACAGCAACTCGATTCCTGATGCGCATTCTCCTCCATCCCAAAACAAGGTCCAGGAGAAGCACAGCGAAGTACGTCGACTCCTGTTGCGCCGCTGCATCCGCATGCTCGTCTCCAGCGCAGTCAAGGTCCACTCCCTGTATCAGGAGTAAAACAATAGCATGATTCTTCATATCATACAGTCACCTCTGACTGCTAATGCATAAACTTTTATTTCGCACCAGAACTCCTTACATTTGACAGCTTAAACTTTCTACAACCATAAGCTTTAGTAAATAACAATTAAGCACCTTGTGATAACAAGAAACAGCTTATACATATAGGAAGATTGTATTTTGTATTCGTTATTTAGTAGAGTAGATTAAAACAGAAATATAGAAAGTTGGCTTTCGTTTAACCATAGAATAAGTCTAAAAAATGACCGACTTCAGGTTCATCTTTTGTACCTAAGTCTACTAAAGAAGCAGATTTAAGTTTGACGATTTCAATTGAATACTTCCCTGGAAATAGAATTAACAAACACCTGCTAATGCTGATTTTCTTTCGAAGTGTTGACCCTTAGTTTTGGTGCGAAAAGCGGTTCTATGCATTAGCAATTACTTAGTACTGTATAGAGCTGAGTAGCCTTGATCATAATCTTGTAGTATAGCTGATCCGGTGTATTGTATTAATTGATGCTCTCTTTGGTTCAGGTTTGCCTGTTCCTATAGCAGGAGCGACTTCCTTTTCGTGAATCGCTGCACCCGGGCATATTTCTGCAGTACACAAGATCTCAGTTCACCGCAGGCCTTTCAGAATCAAATTCTCTACGACAAGAACCTGTAGTGGCTAGATTGACTTGTGACTTCGAAACGGCAGGCTATTGCTCGCTTCATCAAATGCAAAAGAGGTGGAGAGTTGAAAAGCTACATCAATCAGCTCGGTCTAGTTGAGAAGGGATTGTGCCCCACACTCGTTCAACTGTACGCGAAGAGTAAGCAAAGCAAGCAAGCAGGTCAAGCAGATAGGGTTAAGCAAAAACATTATCCAAAGCAGAGCAGAGCAGGCCAGAGGGACAAGAGAAGATGTTTGTTGTCTGTACACATTCCTTTGTTCGCTTACTCCAAGCTCTTTGCAGCGAATGCTGGTTAGTCAAACAAGTGATCCAGGATGGGTTGAGTAACGCTTTTTGAGGCGTCTATTTAATACTCGAGCTCAATTCTAGTCAAGAATATGATCAAAGTTTCATAAGAAACTCTTCGCACAGTTCTGCTGGTTGAAAGACCTTTTGCTCAGAGGCTCGCTAGCATTTCAGATAGCAGTACCGTGAGAAGATTGTAAGCAATAAAGACTTAAATGTCGTTGAGTAGATAAGGTAAAGTCCGATGGGCTTATTGCAGGCAGGTCTTAAGTTGAATGGTGGGTGGCTTCGGTTCGGGGGAGGGTGGTAAGTAATCAAGCTGATGAATGTAATAGTAGCTCTCCAGTTCAGGAATCTGAATCAGCCAAAGTGATGCTAGTCAATCCCGTGATATTTTATCTTTTAGTGGAGTTCAATTCAACTGAGGGGTAACGTTGATGAGACAAACCCGTTGTGGCCCGCATGCCACAGAGGGAAGTAAACAGGCCACGTGCCGTACCTTACTTAAAAAGGATTGTGATTTACAAAATCTCAACTTAGTTCACTTCTTCTGTCAACACCAATGCATCCGTCCCTTCTAATAAACAGCACCTCTCTAATCAATGCGAATGTCACTCAGTCCCTTGATCCATCACGTTTGGAGTACGTGACCGACGCGCCGACCAGAAAAGTTTGAGCGACCCCTGTACTAGAATCGTCCCGCCAACATAACGCGATCCAAGTCAATAATAACAGTACTATAACCCGAGAGCTTATGTACAGCAATCTTCGACTGCGCTTCCGCACAACCATTCAAGACATCACCAATATCCTGATTGGCATGGCTCTGGATCCCCGACTGATGCCTGGCGTGGCCGCGGAAATGCGCTCAGTGCGATCCACGGCTTCGACACCGAGTTTACGATCGCGGGGGAGTGATATGACGATAGGGAGAGATGCGCCGGGAGGAAATGTCAGAGTGGTGGTTCGAGTGCGGGCATTTCTTCCGAGAGGTATAGATGGAATCGCTCCCGGATGGAGAGTGGAAGACGATGCTAATGATTGCGTAGAGATTGAGAGAGGTGCGGAGTGCTTGATTGAGATGAATCCCAAAACCCAGGCAACAAAGCTTCTCGTACCGAATGACACCGACCCAGCCAACTCCCGTTCCAAGACGCGGAAGGTCTTCGAGGAGAAGTCTTTCACGTTCGACAATTCTTTCTGGAGTCACAATACGAAGGACGAGCATTATGCCCACCAGGAGGATGTCTACAATAGTCTGGGAGAGGAGTTCTTGGACCACAACTTCGAGGGCTACCACACTTGCATCTTCGCATACGGCCAAACGGGTTCTGGGAAGAGTTACACTATGATGGGCACGCCTGATCAACCTGGACTGATCCCAAGAACCTGCGAGGACCTGTTCCAACGAATCGAAGCCGCGCATGAAGAAACCCCGAATATCTCCTACACTGTCCGAGTTTCCTACTTCGAGGTCTACAACGAGCATGTTCGCGACCTGCTGGTCACCCAGCAACCCGGCCAGCCCCCTTATTATCTCAAGATTCGAGAGTCACCCACTGAAGGGCCGTATATCAAGGATTTGACCGACGCACCGGTCCGCAACATCGCGGAGATCTTGAAGCACATGAAGAACGGAGATGCTCAGCGCACGACGGCCAGCACGAAGATGAACGATACTAGTAGCAGAAGTCACTCGGTCTTTACAATCATGCTAAAGCAAATCCACCATGACATGGACACGGACGAGACCACGGAACGAGTGGCTCGAATCCGGTTGGTCGATCTGGCTGGCAGTGAGCGCGCAAAGTCAACAGAAGCAACTGGTGCACGACTCCGTGAAGGAAGCAACATCAACAAATCTCTAACAACTCTCGGCCGCGTAATTGCGGCACTGGCAGACCCAAAGCAACAACGCCCCGGAAAGCGAAGCAAGGATGTCGTACCGTACCGTGACTCGATCCTCACCTGGCTGCTCAAGGATTCGTTGGGAGGAAACAGCAAGACGGCAATGATCGCCTGCATCGCCCCCTCGGACTATGACGAGACCCTGTCCACGCTCCGCTACGCTGACCAGGCGAAGAGGATCCGCACCAGAGCTATCGTCAATCAAGACCATGTCTCTGGCGCGGAGCGCGACGCCCAGATTACTGCTATGGCTGAAGAGATCCGCCTCCTCCAGATGAGCGTCTCCGACACTCGTCGTCGTGAGAAGGAGGACAGAGCACAAGAGGAGAGGCTGGAGGATTACCAGACGCGAGTGTTGGCTATGCAGCGCTTGATGGAGGAGAAGGGCATGGTAGCCGAGGGCAAGATCCGCAGTCTGACAACCGAGAACGAGGCCCTGAGACTGCATCTCAAGCTTGCTCTCGACAGTCTGAGAAACCCGATCGAGGTCCGCAGTACACGGAACAGCATGCGTGTGCCGAGTATGGGGGCTGGCGAGGAGAGTGGCGAGAGTAAGGAGAATGGTAGCGCGAAGGGGCCGGTGCAGGAAGAGTACAGTGACGACGACGAGGGTGTTGATCTGACGGAGCACGAGGAGAAGGCGACCGAGACGCAGGAATTCATGAAGACGCTGCTGAGAGACCTGGATTTGTTCAAGCGGAAGATTGGGCACGATAAGGAGCGGTTCCTGGCACCGCTCAAGGAGGGAGTATACGTTTGATTGGGGAGGCGGGAGGGTGGCCTGGAGGAGCATTGAATGTTCGAGGGCGGCGGCGCTCTGGAAAGTGCACTCTGTCTGGTCATGAATAGCGAAGGGATGTGATTTTGGGCAGCGATGGTGTCCGGAGTCTTTCTTCAGGTCACATATTATGCTATGGATAGCAAGAAGAGGTAGTCTCTTATAGGTAGGGTAGGTAGGTATAGTCACGAAATGCAGGGTCCCTGATCATGCAGAGGAGTCTGTAAATTCAGCAACGATGTGATGAACCCGTGATACCTTCTTTTCTTGTATGTATTATTATGTACTATGTATGTAGGTACTTTGAAAAGATATTATTGTATATATAGAACTGTCTGTTTCCAACAGCATTCATTCTACCTCCCTGCTTCTCTTCCTTCTCTCTTTAATTCCTGCAGCTCCTTTTTACTCACGTAACCCTCGCCCCACACTCAGTCCATTCCCGAGCCAATAGATATAGATGTGGATGTGAATGTGAATGTGGATACCCAGCGCGAAGGTAAGCTGGCTCACTCGTAAGCGAGCATCTAAGCGAGCAGCTGACTAGCCCGCATGACTACGTCAGACGTTGTCAAAGCTAGCTGTAAGTACTACGTATATTCGCAGATACCGTTAGTACTGTGGTGGAGTTGGCGTCCCTGATCTATTTTGGCCCTGTATCAGGCCCCACTATCACATGCCTCTGCTCACGGCTAGGTCACGTGTATACGCCTATATAGACGAGTAGTTGGATCCTCCTTGAACCAATTTCATCGTCATCATCATACATACAATACAATATAATACTACGACGAATAGAAGTTCTTATTCCCCCCCTCTCTTTTCACTCTCGAATCCATTATGATTATATCTATATGCATTTGTTGATTCGCAGTCAAGTATATGCTGGAGCTCCTCCCTCCACATATATTTGGTGACCTACGCAGGGAATCGAATCGAGGGTGGTCTTTACACTTTTATCTATTAGTTCAATCTGGTGGAACCTCGCTATTACCGTCGCCCATCGAAAGAGACATGACTTCTTCAGCGCAAAAGGACTTCAAGCTTAGCGACAACGCCATACTCAAGCTCACCGAAGAGGATATGAAGAGGATCCGATCCCTTTCATCCGTCGCAAATGCTCCAACTACGTGAGCATTCGTAGCCCTCTTGCTGAACCTGGAGCACCTAGTATGCCAGCATTCGACAAAGCCAATATCCCCGATCACATTCGCCAGCTGGAGCGAGCCTTCAAGGACTACGATATTACTAGCGATTCGAAGAAGAAACAACACCTAGCGGAGTACAACGTCTCTAGTTTTTTCGGATACAATATTCGATGCAACATCGAAAGCCTCGGAAGCTTCTCGGACGATAAGGTATCTTGGGACGAGTTCAAAGCACTAGTAAAGGAGGAATATAAGGCCTACGATCTCGCGAGATGGAAAGATAGCATTAGCTTTTTATACGACTTGAGCAACAAATAGATAGCAAAAGAAAGAGCCTCGAAGGCAGATCTGCTGCAATTCATACGGCAATTCAACCTTACGGGTCTTGCGTGCTTAGCCAACGGAAACATCACCGACAAACAACTGAAGTGGAAGTTCTTCGGGTGTTTATCGACTCAGATGCAGCACCGAACTTTTAAAAACGTTAAAGCTAGAGAAGACCATTTGCAAACCTACGACGCGGTCTATACTCTAGTAAGCAACCTTATCAAACAAAAGCAAATCACTTCGAAAAGAATCAAGGAATACGGATACGCTAAGATCCCTGAAGAGTTTTCACGCTATGATCCTTATTAAAATGAAAATTCGCGTCTCCAAGTACCAGCTGTCATACCTGAAAGCAAGCGAAACCCCTACGTTTCGCCACCGTATGACGCTTACCCTCACGGTTCCCAAGTCCTTGCGTAGGTCACCAAATATATGTGGAGGGAAGAGCTCTCGCATATACCTGACAGCGAATCAAGAGATATGTAAAGATATAATCTTAATGGAATCGAGGGTGAAAGGAAGGGGAGGAAAAGAAGACGTCTATTCGTCGTAGTATTGTATTATATTGTACATATGATGATGATGATAATCGTCGGCTCGCTTAGGTGGGCCTCCTTAATCCTTTCAGTCTTAGTCGGCGTCATGTATGTTGGAAATTCTCTTATACTATAGCAATTACTATTACAATTATCAAATATTTACATAAACAATCAATCCACAAATTGTATACTTGTTTTCGAAATATTCAAAATCGTAAGTGGATTTAACGATTACGAAGGGAAAAAAAACTTTAAGCTGACGTAGTGCTACAGTACTGTATACGTACGTAGTACTACGTACTATGTTCGAAAAGGCGGTTTAGCAACGCGATGAGCCTTAGATCAAAATCTTATTACTCTACTTACCTTTGCCGGACGATTCTTGTCGGGTTGTAGTAACACTTACGGAGTTAACAAGAAGCTAAATGGTCATAATAATAGTTCGGGTTTTTCTAATACTCCAGTAGTATTTACGTAAATCCTCTTAGAATCCGCCCTTGGCAAGGAGCTTGCGCTGACTTTCCTTAACACTTGTGGTACGGAAGACTTCTCTTCTATCTTGAAAAGATGACGACGCTAATCATAGCAAAGGCTATCTCGGACCTAGTACAGTATGGACAATCAAGCTTCGTCTGTCGATACCTTGGGCAAAACATGCCGCTTTTATATGCAGAATCCTTGTCCTTTTTTTTTTTTNTTTTTTTTTTTTTTTTTTTTCAGACAATTATCCAAAAAAAACAGTGATGCCAGAAACTTCCAGCAGGATCAATGACCTGGCCATAACTGAATTCAATAATGCGGTTTCTTCTTTGACATGCTCTTAGCTGCAGCAGCCCGATACATATTCCCTGGGCTATCTATGATAATATTGCGAATATGCTCGCTCCGAGTTTCTCACGGGAACAATCACTAATCACGACGGCTACAATGGTTACCGATAGTAGATGGTTCAGGGGGTTTCGATTGTGGTAGTGATCGGTCGAGGTCGGGTGGTGTAACCCCCGGCAGCCGCCCGCCCCGCCTTAGACCTCTTTGTGTTCTGTTATTTTCTTTTGCCATCCATTCAAAAGACCCGTACGTGCTCAGCAGCAGCAACACAATGCTCTGTCTTGACAGCTGCAACAAAGCAGATACGACGGGCCACAGAAACAAGCACTAGGAACATGTTGTGCAGTACGGAACAGCCCTCATGTGTCTGCCAAGCTGCTTAACTAATAAGCGAGATCACGTGCCACACAAGCACCTATAAATGACTTGCTTCTTTGTTCCCACGGACATGTCAGAGTTTTCGTACTACCACTTTTGCGAACACACTGTTTCCTGCTCCACCTGTTACGACCTACGTCCAGATCTTGCACCATGCGCTGTGCTGTGCTGTGTTCACCAGCCAGATAGCCCACAGCGCTGCTGGCGACAGGTTTCTCTCTACATTAGGGACCTACGGACGCGACTCGATGCGACCGGACTGAACCTTGCCTACAATAAATATATACATTTATATCGATATATACCGGTATATAGCTGCGAATATGGCTTGGCTCCTCAGCCCTATCCGCATCTCTTCTCATCTCGGGTTGAGTGAGTGAGTGAGTGAGTGAGTACTCTGCCGCCAAAGGCAGGGCGAAAAAAAAAATGAAGAAGGATCTCGAACTCCCCAATCTCCTACCCTTCCACTCCCCAATCCCTCCCCCTCAAAAGAGGAAGGAGAAGAAAAAAAGAACAAAACCCAGCTTTAAACATAAATGCTAGAGCCCGCCGATTCCACCTCCCAGATCGCGCGAGTGTGGACAATGAAGCTAGAATGAACGTACCGGGGGCCGCGATTTTGATTCTTCGAGGCCCTTTCCCCGCGAGTTGATGTTATAGTCAAACCTTGTTGTCGGCTCCTGATTTTCGGGGAGTGGACGATTGGTGCTTGGGGGATACAATTTTCTTTTTTCCGTTAGACAGATCCATGGAAAAACATCATGGCTGTTTGATTCATGAGATCGTTCTTTGAGCTGCTTTGAGTTCTACATTTTGCTTTGATTTGCTGCTGTGCTATGCTATTCTCGTGTCCGATGCTCATGTCTTGTGTCTTGTGCCCCGTCTGCCGCATCGTGATACAAGAGAGAGAAGAGATCACCCCTTCCAACACCCATCAGCATCCTCATGCACTTCTGTCTCCTCAATCCCCGCCTCCTCTCTCACCCCCCTCTTCTTCGCCGTCTCGACGCCGAACCTCCTATCCCTCTCCCGGACCTTCTCCCACGGCACCTGTTCAGCCTGCGTGAAGCTCATCATCAGCTCCGGCTTCCCCAGCGGCAGCACATCGCCCCGGTCGACCTGCCAGAAGTGGTACGTCTTGCCGTAGAGGCCCACGACAGACCTCATCTCCTCCGTCTCGGCGACCTCCCAGACGGCGTTGGGCAGGGACGGGTTCGGCATGATGAGCATGCCGCTGCGGACCTGGGTTTTTTTGCCTTTGTCAGCTGAACTCTGGTCGGGGAGTTGAAAGAGAGAGGAAGGGAGAGAGGAAAAGAAAATGAAATAGAACATGGATAAGAAAAATCTGACCTCGTAATCATGCGAATGCCACAGCTTCCTCTCCTCCGCATCAAGACCCGCATACAGCTCCCTCGTAATCATGTACTCCACGCCAATCAGCCTCGCCGGATTCGTCGGCGCGTCGTAAATCAGACACTGTCGTACCTATGTATTCCCCCGACATCAACCTTCAGATCCCAGTACACTCACTCACTTACTCAATCACCCCACCTCTTCAATCTCCACCCCTTGTGCTTCCCTCCTCTTTCTTCTCTCTCTTCCCTGCCTCCGCCCTCCCCTTCCTCCAAATGCTCCATGAAGGGTGGAAAGTAAAAGGCCAAAGAAAAAAAAAAGGAGGGGGGGGGAGTAAGAAAAAAGGGAGAGCGTACGTACATCGGCGCTCAAATGCGTACAGTAATGGTTGGCCTCCACCGCGCGGCGGGGATCCGACGCGTAGACGTGGAAGGCGTTCAAGTGGGCGCAGATGGCTTTCACGGGCGCGAAGGACTGCGTCGCTGAGGCGCCCGTTTCGAGGATGGCATCTTTGGTTGTGAGGGGGGGGCCGGCGGCGCCGTGGGTGCTTTGGGGGGATGGCATGGGTGGGTGTTGTTACTTGTGCTCCGCTTGGAGCGAGCGTGTTTTGATGTTGATGTTGATGTTGGTGTTGGTGTTGGTTTTGGTGGTTTTGGTGTTGATGGAGGGCAGGTGGGTCTGAGGTGGACCTGTGGAGGGGAATGGTTTGAGGTGAGAATGAATGCCTACTTATTCAACACGCACAAGTGGGGGAAGGGGACACCAGAGGAAGGAGGGGTGTTTATCAGCAGCAATGGGCAAGGAAATAGGGGCTGACGTCATGCTACACTGTGAAGTGAAGCCATGCATGTCGTTTGTAGCAGGGTCATCATAAATAATAATTTGATATTGTCCGAGTCCATCCTGTCTCATATCTTGGAGTCGGCAGGTGGTCTGTCGGTTACAAGTTAGCCCAGGGGGGCCAAACTCCCGAGTATAGATGGATAACTTCACATACCTACTCACTTGAAGTTGTTCTTCATCTCTCTGAGCTTGGCCATGACCTCCACCGGATCGGTTTTGCCAGTGGCTTTCTGGATCTCGGGATCCTAGATGGTACAAATTTTCAGCCTGAAGGTCTCATGTCTACTCTAATCACGGGAATGCTACTCACGTCCATTCTCATGAAGACGTTGTGTTTCTGCATATCCGATTAGCATCTCTTCTCGCCGTTATTCCCGGCCAGAGGGCCTGCCTACCTTCTCGTCGCCGATGGTAAACCTGCCCTGCGTCTCCTTGTTGTTCTCGGCAAAGGCATGCAGTGCCTTGACAGGCTCGCTCTGTAAGACCGAAATGGCGAACTTGACATTGGCTTTCGTGTATTCGTGCCCAGGCTAGTTCAATCAGCATGCCAGTTCTTCTCCCGCGTGGACCATAGCCTTACGTAGACCTTCGTATCGTCCGGAACCGCAGCGAGGGTCTTGTTCAACGCAGTGTTCATCTCTTCCGGAGTACCCTCAAAGAATCGACCACAGCCTGGCAGGTTATGGTCAACTTATCGAAGCAGGCTCATTGGAATACTATGTCGAACCTACCTCCATGGAACAGTGTATCCCCAGTGAAGATGTACTTCCCCGTACTATCCTCCATGAACCAGCAGATACTGTCTTGGGTATGGCATGGTGTGTAGATAGCCGTCACAGCAATCTCGCCAATCTTGAATCCTTCGCCATTCTTGGGAGTCTGCGTAACACCTTCACAGTCTTTGCCGCCAATGATAGGCTTGCCCTGGAACTCAGGATGTGCTAACTAAAATTTCAGAGTGTTAGTGGGATATATCTGGCGTGAGAGTACGACGTCTGCCTACCATCTTGTTATTTCCACCCGCATGATCCCAGTGACTATCCCAGTCAGAATCTCTCCCTTTTCCTTTCTCAAGAAAAAGAGACATACTGATGTGTATTGACAATGGCCGTCAAGTTGATCTTGCCAGCACTTATTTGCTCCTTCAATACTGGTGCCACCCTGAGCATGTCATCAGTCTCTCCCCTCTCAACGTTCGGGGACTTCTGTTGGACTAACTCATCCGGATTCGCGGGATCAATGATAACAGCATCTTTCGTCTTGTCGTCGATCACCAGGTATGCATAGTTATCCATATGCCCCGTCCCTAAGTTCTAGGTCAGTGATGACCAAATAAGCTTTGCAGAACACCTTGAAGGCTATCTTACACATAGGAATCGATTGGATATGCATTGCGCGGGTTAGAGCGAGCTATTATTTGTTGACTTATTAGCTTATTTTCCAGCAGACCTTACTGTAGCTTAGAAACATACACTTGTAGTGATGGATCGTAAAGGCCGTGAGAGTGTTCGTCTTGTAAGGGCAGAGAAGCTCATTGATATCTGTGCAGTGGGATGCGGGTGATTGGTAAAGCTTCAACATCGTCTTAAGGCAAGTTACAGTCATAATGTACAGTAAACAATGCGGAGTCGTGAAGCTCTTATCTTATCTTCATGTGACCACAGGAAATTATCCAATGAGAAAGAGGGCATTTCATCTCATTGGAGGCCATAGTCTGGTCCAGAAAGACGTGTTTTTTCTCCATGGTTTTCAACACTCGAAGACACTTGCGTCACTCCAGTCATGTGATGGAAGCTTCTCCGGGCATTATATCCATCTTTTCCAATCAAAGATGGCACAACCTGAAAGTGTTTAAAATTTAGCAGTACATTTAAGTAGTAGTATATTAGCTAAAGCCAACTCGTACCTCAGACTATAGAGATGGGTAAGATCGTCCAAGATTTTTTTTACCATGGCTCGCTTGAAGCCCTGGTCAGGTATTCGAAGGGTTGATCAGGTATAAACTGGGATAGAAACATAAGGACCCGATAACGAATGGCTAAAAGGAAAAACGAAAAAGGGAAATAGCTATAGTTTCTGGCTACTTTCTTGAAGTATTTCCGGGTTTTACGAGTTTGGCACCGCTAGCAATAGCCGATCTAAGCTAATAACGGCCGAGGTGGTTTGCTGGTAAAACTCAAAGATGCTTTTTTTTAACCAGATTGAGGAAATGAATCCCCATACGGATAACAATATGTCTCCATCACTCTTGATTTATATCATACTATGCGACTCATCTCTCACAAGACGTTATTCTGCTGATTGTCGGAAATCATCGCTTGAGAAATTCTGGACTTTCACATCAAGACTAAGCGAAGATCGCGAGCCATTCCGATGGACTGATTTCGGAGTCAATTTTTTCTTTCACACTTACCTCTTTATCAACTAGAAATGAATATTATTCTATCGCCTCGAAAACATCTAACAAAGAACCTATCGACTGTATTCTTAGCGTCGTTGCATAAATATCGTAAAGTGTCAGCCGACCTTGCCATTTCGATGTGAAATAGCCGATTCGAAACAAACCTCAATAGGAGTACGATGTAGCGTCAGCTATATCGACTCTCGGCGTCTTAGCAGTCCTCTTTTTTTTTTTCAAAAAAAAAAAAATTCTTGCTGATTGCTGCCCCTCTAACGGCGATCGTCTTTATGCTTCTGCGTTACAGACTGAAAGGCACCGTCGGTGGTGCTAAGCTAAGAAAAATAGTTCTCGCTTAGCAGATTATGCATACCACATACATTGAACTAATAGTATTGTGACCTTTGACGAATCACAGCAGCAGGGTTTTATTACGATTATACTATCAGCAGATTGAATATCTTGAAGACAAGAGGGGGTTTGGGGGTGGGAGGTATTTGAAGAGTCTCATGACCAGCTATCGGGATGGACGATCTCATTAGATAATCTAAAATCGGCGCTAGGCATATAACTATAGTTCAGCAAGGAGTTACTCTTTTATAGAAATGTTTGCCATGGGCGAAGAGATGTGCGGAGGAATCAAAAAGTTGGGATTCGATGTGACGTGGAAGGCGCACGAGGAGGGTGGGCATTGGATCCATACGGAAAAGGGAGTGGATGTCATGGCCGAGTTTCTGCGGAAGTTCATGATGGCGAATAAGGGATAGTATGCATGAGGTCGGGGTAATTACAGAATGCCATTCTTGGAGCTGCGATGCCGTGGGATCAGAGACCCGGACTCTATATCGATGTGTGTATTTTTTGGGGGGATTATAGCCATGGTCCTATCAATATATTGTCTCTAAATCCCGTTCGATTAGTTGAGATCACTAATGGAAGTTTTGACGCCGGCACGTCATTATAAGCCCTGGGGAGGCCGAGTCGTAAGTCGGATTCTTCAAAGTCCCATGATAAAATTACCATTGAAACATCCTCATTGTTATCCTCATCATAATTACAGACCAAAAAACTGAATGTTGAATTTATATCGTGACTTCCAACTGAGAATATTGAACCATATCGTAACTTCCAATCCAAATTAGCGAGACTTGGCAAAGACTTCGGACACACTCATTTAAATTATCAGTAAAGAACTTTGAGACTATCCCAGACATTGAAACATCTTCATTGTTATCCTCATCATTAGCACAAACGGAGAACCTTAATGTTGAATTTATATCGTGACTTCCAACTGAGATTCTACACTTTGAACCATATCGTGACTACCACTTAAAATTAGCGAGACTTGGCAAAGACGTAGGAAACACCCATGTCAATCAGTAATAAAGAATTTGATACTATCTCAGTTGCAACGCATATTCTTGATGGAATTCTACCAAAATATAATCTTCTTGGATTCTAAAGAGTCGAGTCGATCGTGGCCGAAAGGGATGGTGGGTGCTAACAGGGAGGGGAATAGACCTCATTGCCGTATTGTGAATCATCTGGAAAGAAAGAAAATCACACTGACTATAAGAATATCAATTTAATAAGATATATCACTAGCTCCCCAAGCTGACTTCCCCATAATTGAAAGGGTTTTTTTTTACAAGCAATTTGTTTGATTGTCCTATATATCCTATATATCCTATGCCCTACAAATCCTACGCATTCAGAATTTCCTACAAATCGTACGTAGCAACAGAGCACTCCCAATACGTCATGTTCACTCCGGTCTCGATTACAAATCACGGGGAGACCTTCCGTTGAGATTACTGTTACGAGGCACACGTCTGAGTCTTCTCAAGGGTAGAGACGGGGGTGAAGTCGCTGAACGCAAAAACGGTGGTGGGAGTATGCCGGACGTTTCCCTCATCCCATTCCGTCCCCGAGTGGACCCTCCAGACGTCTGCATGGGTACGGACACCGTCGAGTCGTCCTGGAGGCCGCAGGGGCCGGTGGGCGAAGAGGGAGGAGATATTTCGGGCCTAGTGCCGAGCTTGGGGGCGGTGGTGATCTCAGTATTGCCTTTGCGGGTTTTCTTCTCGAACTCTGTCCCATCTTCTCTAAAGATTAGGCCCCATCTCCGGGGATCATTGTTGAGGGCGCCTCTCATGGGAGGGTTTCGAATGTTGCTCTCTGGGGAGGTCTCGGCTCTCTCCATGTAGGGCCTTGGAGAATCGGGCCGCTTCTTCTTCAAGGGTGGGAGGGCATGGCGACCTCTCTGGGAATGCCTCCTTTCTGGTCTGGTCTCGAGCTCCCCCGTGTAGGGCCGTGGAGAATCTGGTCTCGTCTTCTCTCGCGGCGCGGGGACATGGTGGCCGACTGACCCTGTCTGGGAGAGGGAGAGAGTCTGGCCTAGGTCGGGGTTTTTGTCCGTCTGTGGGTCTGTCAGCTTTAGTTCTTCTTGAGATCCCTGTGGGGTGAAGATCTCGGTGAATTTGGACTTTCGAGGGGTAGGCATCTCGTCGCCGCCTACTTCTTCTGAGTAGTTCGTGGTATGGAATTCGGTATGTATGCGTGAGAGAATAGAGACGCTGGATGAATCGGATGGTTTTGCTAATATTGGGACTTGTGGTACCGTGTTTCTTGACTCCTATATAGGTGAGGTGAGCGCTGTTCCACTAGTGTGGCCTTACTGTTCTCGAGTCCAGATCAGGAAACGTGCAAAATGCAAAGTTCAAATCTAGTGGTACCGACTGTTCCGACTCAAAATGCCTCAAATCCATATCCTGCTGCTTATCGAAAAGAGCCATGGTCTGATACCTCCTCCTGAAGTTGGTCCATCAAGACAACAATTGTATAACCATCTGCTGTTCCAGGAGAATCCATCAAGATGTGGCAATATTTTACCTCGAGAATGTTCTCGTTCAGCAAATGGTAGAAGATTTGCATAAGCCAGAGCTACTTTGTCAGTCGAGTTCAACGGTCTTTGTTGTCTTGGCCAAAGAAAACATAAGACTTATGCGGGATCCTATGAAAAAGGGAAATGTGCAGAATCGTAAACAATGCACACAAAGAATGCACACAATGAGACAGGTTTGGACCAAAGTCGAGTACAGACTCTGATACTTTGTACTAGTGACTAGCGGACATTATCTGATTCCTCTTGAATCCACTTTGCCCAGCTGTCCGTATACAGTATTCATTTCTAAAATTCTTTAAAACTCCATTAAAAAGTACTCAGAGAAAGTGACAGGGCGTGAAATGATTATTGATAGAAGGTGCCGAGGTACCATAATCAACACTGCTCCCATACAACTTACTTTTCGCCCCAAGCTCCGCATAGACAAGCACAGAGAGCGTGCTGATGAACACACACAATATAGATAGCTAGCCTTCGAGAAATGTCATTTCGGACGTAAAAGCAAAACAGACGGAGGAAAGCATAGGAGGTTAGAGAAGGAACTATATACCGTATACCCATGTCTGAAATTAGTTCTTAGGAGGCAGGCTGTCTGAGGCAGACTACCTATAAAACCACAATGACTTTGGATTATGAATCTGGTTCATTCAAGGCACCTATTCTAGAGGTATCTCGTGATCTCTCACTGGCAGCTAAAGCGCTTTGTGTCCACGGTCTCAGAATGCATGTATCTTACACATACCCACGAGAGAATCCTAATCCCGCCGACTAGACTCCCTCCTACTGCCCCGACTACGGCTGCGATCACTCCGCCTGCGATCACGATCCTTATCGCGGCTTCTGGATCGTTCGCGTCGGCGGTCCCTATCCCTTTCTCTGTCCCGAGAACGGCTGCGATCTCTTCTATCCTTCCTCATATACGGACTGCGGCTTCGCGACCTAGCCCTCGTCCGGTCCCGATCTCTATCTCGTCTGCGACTCCGACTTCTCGATCGGCTGCGTCGACGAGACTTCTCCTCCTCACGAGATCGGCGGGTGTCTCTATCTTTAGCATCCCTGTCCCGACTTCGACTTCTCTCTCGCTTGACAGTACTATCTCGACGAGCGCTCCGGCTACTGCTCGCTCCAGGTATGTATCGATCGATACCTGCAGGGCTCGTCGACCTCTCGATCCGGCTTCCGCGTCTGGAGGACCGTGACCGACTCCTAACTCTCGAGCCACGCCTATCTCTTCCTCTCTCGCGAGAACTCTCTCTCTTCCGTGCAGACACAGGACTCGTAACTCGAGCATCGTCAGTCCGCCTAGGCGTCTCCTCCCGTTTCGGGCGTTCGGACCATCCAGGCAGCGGGGGAATCTTCTCACGGGCAGCTTGGTCGGCCTTCCACCTCTTAGCTTCTTCTTCGCGCTTCTTGGCTTCAGCAACTTTCCATCTTTCCAATTCAGAGTCTCGTGGGGGAGGGCTAGCAGGTCTTACTCGATCTCGGCTCCGGTCACGGATGCTGTTTCTGTCACGGTGGCGGCTGTCTGAGCGGTAGCTTCGTCGTCGATCAGGAGATAGGCTGCGGTCTCGGCTAGAACGTCGACGGCGATCTTCTCTGCTATCTCTTCGATAGGTGCGGTCCCTACTGTCGCGGCGGCGGCTCCGGCTTCTGGATCTCCTCGTGTCCCGGTCCCGGTCCCGGTCCCGGCTACGGCTCCTTCTCCGGTCATAACGATCGTCGTACTTATCAGAGGGACGATAGGGCGTCTTGAATGCATCAGCCTTGGGTCCAGTTGGGGGGGCTATTGGTTTCTTGACATCGACGTTAATCGCAGAAGCTGGGGCGATTTTCTTTGGGGGTGGTGCCAGGGATTCATCGATTTCGATTTCCAACTGGTGTCTCGACCGCTGCGATAGTTTTTTGCCCTCCTTCAATAGATCGTTCAAAGCTTCCTGCTCCAAGCGCTCGATTTCCTCCTTTGACAACTCCGGCTTGACTGAAACCTCCTTGACTGAAACCTCCTTGACGTCTCGAGTCGAATCGCGTCGGCTTGGTTCGTCAGACTTCTTATATCGATCGTCTCGTGAGTCTCGCGAATCGCGCAAGTCTCGTTCGCGGTCGCGGTCTCTGTCTCTGCCACGATCCCTCTCTCTATCCCTATCTCTCTCTCGTTCCCGTTCTCGTTCCCGCTCTCTCTCCCGCTCCCTATCCCTGTCTCTTTCCCTTTCCCTCTCTCGTTCTCGTTCTCTTTCCCTACTCTTCTCCTCCTCCCTCTCCCTTTCAGCCTTCCTCCGAGCCTCTCTTTCAGCCCTCCTCTTCTCCTGCTCCATCTCTGCTTTCCTCTCTTCCTCCTTACGCCTAGCTCTCTCCTCCTTCCTCTTCTCATCAAGAAAGGCCAACTCCTTCTCCCTCGCCTCCTGCCTCACTTTCTCTCTCGCCTCCCTCCTCCTCTTCGCATCCTCCGCATACTGCTCATCCGTCTTCCCACCCCGAGCGTGCTCCATAAGCGCCGTCTCCTCACCCACATCCTCCTTCCTCAGCACCCGGATCCCCGTCTCAATTTCCTCCAGGTGTGCATCGATCAACGCATCGATGCGCGACTCTGCTGTTTGGTACACGCCCGCTCGATCAACGGCTCCTTCGATCAGCGCAGCCGCCTTCCCGCGATCCAGTTTCAGCAGCTGGGAGGGGTTCTTCTCGATCTCTTCTTCGGCGACCTTGATCAGGTTCTGTTGGAACTCGGCTTCGAAATCCTGCATTCCCGGAGTGGAAAGTTAGATCCGGGCCTGGTGGGCCTGCAGGCCGTGCCGGGAGGGAACCTACACTCTTCTCCAGATCCTCCCACACCTGCTTGCGCAAGCTGTCGTAGCCACCCTTCTTCTTGAACTTGTGCGCCAGATCGTCGATGCTCTGACGCGTCGCGCTCGAGAGCGGGATATCGCTCGTCTTGAGCTTCTTCCTCACTGGGCCCGTAGTACCGCTCTCAGCGGCATCTTTTTGGTAGGTCATGGTAGTTGCCATTCCCTGCTTCAGCTTCAGCTTCAGCCGCTGCAAGGTCGTGGAATCGGGTGCGTGTCGTGAATCGTGATGAGCTGTAGAAGCATGCTGCAATTATGTAGAGTAGAGCCGCACAAAGTATCTCCCGACGCCAAGTAACACTAGAGTAACTAACGACTAGCATGCTACCCCGGCCGAGCTTCACCTCGAACCTCACTTTTGACAGATTGAATGCCCTCAAAGCCAATTACGCCCCTAAACCACGCATCTACGTCTCAATTTGGGGCCAAACCTCTCCCCAAAAATACAGATATACATATCACACCACGAGAGCGCGTTCAAGATGTCCAAAGTCCTCTTCTGGGCCGGCTTCGGTACGTCCTCAAAACGCCCTCCTTCCGCTCCTACAATCCCCCCCCCCACCCACCACTTCCCCAATCCAAGATTCCCAGTGTATTGATAGATTGTGTGTGTGTGTGTGCGCCAGGCCTCGCAACACGCTTCTGGCAGCTCGGCATCGAGATGCGCCCGTTCTTCAACAAGGAGTCACTCTGGGCGTACCCTTTCTTCGCCGGCGTTGGGGGCAGCTTCGGATACTGGATGACGGGCGTGGATGAGAGGCAGAAGGCTATTCTGGGGGCTAGGAGAACGGCGCTGTTGGAGAAGAGAGCAAGGCGGGCGGAGAGGGAGGCGGCGGCTGGTGCTGAGGCGTAGGGAACGACACGCTGGAACAATACAGGGACAGTGATGGGAAGGGAATGGGAAGGGGAAGGAATGGGATAGAGTAGGGGTTGTGTATGAAGTCTATGGGGCTGGCTGCTACGGTTTGAGATGGGTGAGATATGATCCCCTGATGAAGGACCTCAATGTTGGGGTGATTAGCAGATGCAATCACAAACAAGTCATCAGATCGGAGCCAGTGGGCGAGACAGTTTCATTACACTATCTTACACCATACGAATCGAATGAGATCATCGCAATACCAAATCCACTGCAATGTACCGATAGACCATTCCTTGATCAAATGCTACAGCCAGCTTACTGTCTCTCATTTCCCAATCTATGCAACACTGGCACCGATGTCGGTGGCACATTCCCTGACTCCGTGACAATCATCTGAATGTACTCCGCAGGCGTAACATCGAACATCGGGTTGCAGAGCTGCAGCTTCTTGATGTCCTCCCAGATTGTGAGAGCTCCACCGGGTATCACGAGCTCATCCGCTGGAGCTATCTCATTGTGAACGATCGAGTCCAAAGCCACTCGCTCAGTAAACTTGATTGTCTCGCAAAGGACCAGGACCGGCTTATCGGCCTCGTTAGCTTCCATCGCCACCAAAGCAGTCCCTACTCTCGAAAACAGCCGGCCGTTGCTCATCATGGCGTGAGCTCCCAGCATGACTTTCGTGACATCCTGTATATTGTGGCTTACTCCGTTGATCAGGCAATACTTGACGTCCATTCCGAGTCCAACCAGAGCTGCTGCCAAATGCTTCCCCTCGTGCAATGGTCTCGAGTCTACGACTATGACTCTGAATTTCTTCCCATCGTTATGCGCCTGGACCAGAGACTTCTGGACGATGTTGCTTTTCGCATACGTCATAATCACATCTCCATCTTTGATCTTGTCCGCAGCGCTGCGAGTGATGATTTGATCGGCAAACGTGACTCGCTCTCGAATAAATCCATCAATAGCCTCGCATAGATTTTTCTTGGCCTCGGAATCCGGGGTACTGATATCGACTTTCGAGACTTCGAGCTTCAGCCACCGGATAGCGTTTCCCATAGATATCGAAAGCGGCCGGCACGAAGCAAGGTATTCGATTTGTGGTGAGAGGACATGTGATGTAAGATGCCGTGTAAGTGAGTTTCCAGGTGGTGTAGCGTATGATTCAATGACCTAGAGTTGTTAGCAGGATTTTCTTGCATTGGAAAATACGGCTTAGAAGCCAACACCCACCCTCTTGAATGCCTGCAATGTCGCGACAAGCCGCGCGCAGCTCCCACAAATAGTATAGTTGCTCATCTGCAGCCCCAAAGCCAAAACAGCTGGATGAACATCCTTATTCGCGCCGGCTATCGTCGTAGTCCGCGCCTTGTATAAGTGCCTAAAGAACTCCACAGTCTTGTCTTCTTTCTTAGGTACCACAGGCACAATGGGCGCAACTTTCTGCGGCGATCTAACCGGCAAATTCCTCATATCCGTTGATGCCGAAAGACGCCGCTTTGGTTGTGTCTTGGCTCCTTTCTGTGACTCGCCCTTCGATGGCTGTGCTGCTGCTGCTGGTATAGCGGCTTGTGGTGCACCTCCCGCCGACTTTTGTTCCAACGCCTGTTGTCTCCGAGCTGCTTTCTCGGCCTTTGCTTGCTTCTTCAGCTCGGCAGGTGTTAATACGGTCACGCCTGCATCAGGAGATGTCTTTGGTGGAGCTACGGGTTTTGCGGCGCCGTTTTCGCCTCCGTTTTCGCCTTGCGATTCCTGTGGCGCTGGTGCATGGGGCTCGGACGAAGCTGGCTCGGGGACTATTGGGTCTGGAGATGTCATTTTGAAATAGTTGATGTTCACAGAGCTTCTGCTCTTCGACGGGGCTCAATTGCCTGTGTCAAGTTTAATGATTCATTCGTAAAATCGCTGGGGAATTTGTAGTAGTCTTGGGAGATGTTTGCGAGACGTGGGGTTCTGGCTTTCATGAAAGTGACTCACACAAGAATTGACTGAATAATCTGTGATATTGAAAATTCAACACTGAGTTCCTTGTCGGGATGTGTTCTCAGGTTGATCCGAGAAGCAGGGCTCGACTTGACTTCGAATAGTGCAGTGTCGATTGTACTTTGGCTCGAGATGTTGACTTCGAGCATGAGGCTGCAGTAATGTTTCTTAGCGCGGGCGGGATATTCATAACCCCTGTAAAAAGCACGTGCCAGCTACTTATAAATCTTGGCCATGAATCCTCACTTCACGTAGATGCTTGGAATCATCTGATATACCTTAAAGGGGAATGCAGGAGCATTTAGACGGTCAGCTGATCGTCCGATAACCATCTCTTTTAGGGACGATTTTAATAAGTTGGCATGGCTGGTAGATCACCCTAGGCCTATACTTAAGAATAAATAGAATTTGAAAACAAACGATTTAAATTATTTAAATCGTAGCTAAAATAAAACTATTTTATTCGATTGAATCGTTTTTTTTAAATACTCGTCTTTTCGTATAAAAACCGTTTTAAGACCGTCTTCGAGCGTTTAAGACTCTATGGCCGTCCTATAGCCGTCCCATGGCCGTCCCATGGCCGTCTCTGAGCTTAAAACCGTCCTTGAAAACGTGTATTAGTAAGCAAATAATCTTTTTATTACTTGCTGGTCTACCCTGTACTACCTAATCCACTTACCACACCCCCCCTCATATTGCTACACCCCTTCTTTACCAGGGCTATGAGGGAAGCCGTCGTACGTGGGGAAACTTTTGCTAAAACGATCGATTTCGATTATAAAAAAATTATAGCGTTGATATATAAGCCGTACCAGCGATACCGAGAAATATCTTGGCGTCGAACTTCTTAAATTATTATTAAAACAATTTTATTTAAAAGACAATTTTTATTTATAATTATATATTCTTTAAAATGGTCATCGAACTATTTCAATTTTGTAAAACGAGCTTACTAATAAGCCTGTTTTAAAAATATAGACGGGGACGGCCATGGGACGGCCATAGGACGGTTCTAAGCTCGGGGACGATCAAAAAGGTGAATTATTCTTGATTAATAACTAGTACTGATTTTAAATAGTTTAATAACCGTCTTATATAAAGAAGGGTCAGAGGACCGCTCAAATGACCCCCTACCTGCCTTTATTAAGGTAATGTTGAGCTAAATGGGGATCCTGGCTAAGACCGCAAACTGTTAAAAAGGTCACCTGACCTGCGCCAGTGACGTTGATTAGGTGCATCCATTTAAGCTTAGGCTATCGAAGAACACCAAAAACTTGATTAAGCGCTTACTAATATTAAAAAAAATAGATCTTGCGAGTGTAACGGGCTAGATTTGCATTTCTGCGATTGAAATCGACTTTTTTTTATCGATTCTTTTTAATCGACTTTTTTTAATCGACTTTTTTTAATCGACTTTTTTTAATCGACTTTTTTTTAATCGACTTTTTTTAATCGACTTTTTTTAATCG